AGAGAGAGAGAGAGAGAGAGAGAGAGAGAGAGAGAGAGCAATGGGATTAAGCAAACCAGAGAGACAAGAGGAGGAACCGTTCATCCGTAGCTTTCTCAAGCACTTCTTCCACACGCTATCCATCATCACCATTTCTCTCCTCTTCCCCGCCTCCTTCCTCACGCTCGACAGATTCACCGCCGCCTCTACCCCCTCAATTCCGCCCTCTTCCGTCCTCGCTACCGTCTTCCTGCGCGCCGTCCTGCCTGTCATTAACGGACTCGTCTCCGTCGTCTGTCTCGCTGCTCTCGTGCACTCGCTCACCGGCCGCATGGTCAAGCTTCCTGCCGCGGTTGCATGGACTCTCCTGTGCCTCTTCCATGTCTGCCTCAGCCTCGGCACCGAGGTAACCATCGCCTCCAGAGCCGAAACGATCGACGACGCGCTCGTTTATCACAGCATTACGTGGATCAAGCGTGCAGTCCTCTTCGTGGGGCTTCACAGGACGATGAGGGTATGGGCGAGGATGGTGGTCAAACGGGTGGCCGACGACACCATCTTCGGGGCGGAAGTCCAAGAAGACATCTCCGACAAAGTGGTGGTCTCAGTGGCGTTCGCGACTCTTTGGATAACGATGCTGCAGAACGACATTGCCCGAATGGTGTTTGCTGCAGTAGAGAAAGGGTTGACGAAGGACATGGACTTGGATGGTTACGTTGGCTGGTTTGTGAGCCATGCCATTGTGACGACAGGCATGGTGAGAAGTGTGCAAGGGCTGCTGTGCGTAGGGAACTTCTTGTTTTGCCGCTGTAGAGAGGCAGATGAAGACCACCTCACTGCAGATCACAAGGTTTGATTGATATTGTGTAAAGTAGTAATGCCTTATAGATATCGTTGATGGCATTGAGTCGTCTACTATTGTCAATTTGTAGTGGAACTCTATTTCTCATCTCTAAGTTTACGGCAGAGAACAAAGAAATGAATCAAAGAAATGTTTTTACATGTGTAAACAATTGATAACCTTGATCTATGGTTCATATTGAAAGAAACAATTGTTGGAGGCAAACTCATTGCAGATATGCCACTCACAACAGCTTAAAAGACTACAGATTGCTACCACTGGACTAATGGATAAACCAACCATTCATTCCCTTTCAGTTTGTCATCACCCAATGGACCATCACACAAGCAAGAAAAGATGAAACCTTTGAGAAATGATTGCTGATAGCAATGCAGGATACATCAAAAATAGAGAATTAGCAACTAGGAAGAAGCATAATTTTTCATGACAACTTCAGCCAAACATGAGTTGTGTCATTACATCAAGCAACCACTCAAAGACATTTAGCAGCATAATGTCACTAGATGCAGAGTCATACACTCATCACACTACATGCTGAACAAGAACTCCAGAAGACACTGATTCAAAGACAAACTGAGAGAAGACAGGACAGTATGAACAGTAGGAAGCAAGCAAGCTCTGAACTAATAGACCAAGCCAGTGGAGACGAGACACACCACATAAAGTTATCACAAGGCTGACTCAGAACTGAAGCAAGTCGGCTGTGGCAGAGATAGGCTGCGCAGGGCGAGGAAGCTGCCATGGTTTCAGGAGCTGGTCAGGTATCTCCGGTATGTCCATGGTCATCCCGCTAAATTCCTCCAAGAAGCGGAGCACCGAGTTCAGCGATTGCAATCTCTCAGTCAATTCCGTCAACTGAGCCCTGAGGACAGCGTTCTCAGATTCCACCTCACCGTAACGCTGGGTCAGCAAATTGATCTGCATCTCAATCTGGCTGTTTTGGTTCTTGAGCTCTGCCGCTTGGCTTATCAGATCATCGAAGCGCTGCTGCTTTCTCATCCGGGACCTCCTCGCCGACTCCCTGTTCGAGAGCATCCGTTTTCGCTTGTGCTCGTCGATACCGAGCAGGGGGGACTCTTGACGTCCCGTAGATCCGCGGACCGGCAAGGAAGACATGGTCTTCTTTTGTCCAAGGGTTTGATTACTTCGTTGGAACTAAATCAGGCAAAATCGGTTCTTTCTCGAAATGAATGGATCAAGCCACGAGCTTTACTTCATGAGAAGACGTAGAACCAGTAGAGGAAGACCACCGAGAAGGAGTGGAGGAAGCAGATGCGCAGAATAGCGAGATTCATAAGAACTAGATGACGGTTCTCCACCAAATCAGGCGCGCAAACTTCGACATCTGTGCAGGGGTTACAACTAGTCTCAGAAACCCTAGTTTCTACTGACAGAATCAACCATCAAAGGATGTTGCCCACAAGAAGCAAGGTAGTGTTCTCAGAACAAAGCAAAAACAGGGGAGCTCGATGCCAAACCCAACCCTCCAAAGATCAGATTTTGGGAGCAGGATTTCTACGAACTAATCAGACAAATAGCAGAACACCACTAAACAAAATCGAACAAAAAAAAAAAAGGAAAAACAAAAGGGAAGAAATAAGAAAGACTTACCCGAAGAAGACGGCGACGACTGAACCGAAGAGAGGGCGGCCAGTTAATGAAAAGACAACAGAGAGATACCCAAACTCGGCTATTTATAGAGGAAGAGAGGGGCATTTTGGGCGTATCTTTGTCGCTTCTTCAGCGGCTGTTCACTGCTTCGTGGGGGGCGTTTTGGGCATATAATTACTGCTGCCCTTTGGGTAGGTGTGGTTGGAGGAGAGTAGCAAATGGGCTACTTCGGGTTGGTCTGCTTCTAATTACTTGGGCTTAACTTATAAGCCTCTTATGTTGTTAGATTAGTAATTGAGATGTCAAAATGACAAAGATGCAAAGTCTTGAGCAAGTGAAATCAAGATTAAATTGGGCTTTAACATGATTTATTGCAATGAGCCTTCACCATCCTCAATATCTCCAATACATCAATCCAAAAATCCTTATAAGTCAATATAAAAAGGTTCGATAATATCTATAACATTCAACCATATTATTTACAGTATAAAGGTGTAATTTAAATATATCTCTTTGTGTTAAAGTTCAATCAAATTGGATCTTTTTAATTATTTGAAGTTTTATGATGTATGATAATTCAATTAAAAATACTTATCATAGTATCAAAGGTGGTTGCCAGTTCAAAATTTGAATCTACATCTCTCTATCCAATTCGATGTTAAATTAATATTTATACAATGTTCTTTCAAATTGATTTGCATCATTCACTTGAATTTAGTTTCACATATCAAGTTTGATCTCATATGAAAGGGGATCTTAGAGTTTATTATTGATTACATAGTTTCATAAAAGTTTTAAGTATGTAGGATTTGTGATAATTCAATTAAAATATTTATCATCCTGTGGAGGTAATTGAGAGCTTCTTATGTTCTCAAGAACAGCACGCATGCATGCACTCACAAAGGATGTCACTTAGATTTGCCGTGCAAAGATGCCTCCAAGTCCATGGTTTTGGCCTTGGAAGATTAGGAAGCATGAAAAAGAGAGCAGGCTGTAACCTTCACTTTTACCTTTCCCAGTTCTTATCCTGCTGAGCTTTCAGTCAATCCAATTTCTTCTCTCTGTGACGTTTAAATCTTGTAGTCCTCAAGAAAGAAGAGAACTGCAAGCATGAAACTTTGGCTGATTTAAGCTCGCATTCCTGAGCTGAATCTGAGATCAACTCCGCTCATGTTTCTTGGAATCGGAGATCAACTCCCAACTTATGATGGGAATGATTCTGAATGAAGGAGACTTTGACAATGGCTAAACCATCTCACTCACTAAAAGAAAGGAAGCATTTCATCATCATAATCATCAGTACTTCTGTATGAAGACCAGACATGGGTGTTTCTTGGCTGCATGCAGTCGCGTAGTCCCCAAGTAAGTGTTGACAGTGGCAGAAACGATTGAATGGAGGTTGAGACTTTGGCTTATGGGACTGCGTGCGGTTGCGTAGGCCTCAGGGAGTGTGTTAACGATGGTTAATAGATTGGATTAGGATAGAGTTTTCATTTGTGATCCAAGAAAGAAAGAAAGAAGAAGAAGAAACATATCCTCCAACAAAAAGCCTATGCCAAACATCATCACTGCTGCTACTCATCTTGCTTTACCCACTTGCCTAATGATAGTAGAGCTAAATTCCCATTCCCCCAACACAGTCCTCATCATCATTAGACTCACATCATATCATGCCTAATATTATTATTTTCTTAGGATTTGGGCTATGTGTGTTGGATTCTTGTAGCCACAAATATAATATCAAAGCAGCTAATATTTATAGATGGTTGGTTACTTATTTCTATCAGTTTAGTCACATATCAAAAATTAAAAAGACTAATACATAATAGATTTGGGCTTTGTGTGTATGATATCAAAGCAACAAATATATATAGATGGTTACTTGTAGCTTATAAACATTGATTTATAAGTATTTCTATCAATTTAGTCTTATATCATTATTATTAATTTATAATTAATTTTTTTTATTAGTGATTTAGGCTTCATAAATTAGTAGATTAATTATATTTGAATTAATTCTTGATGACTTGCTCACATTAGAAATCAAACTATTGATTCTTGAAGTCTTCAAATACCCTTAAATGGAGAAGATTGTAACACCTCAAAATCTAGATTTACATCAAATATTTGATAGAACATAAGTTTAATTTTTCTTGAACCAGTCATTTAGGTTTAATAAATCAATAAATTAACCATCTCATCAGATGGAATCGTGCAATATATGGTCATCAAAATGCCTACATGGATCATTTAGCAGCCATAAAACCTAGTAATTAAACCATTGATTCATGCAAAGCAAGGCATCCACCTTACCCTATACTGTAGCAACTCACAATTAATTCCCCTTCCACAATAGGTCATGATTGAGGCAGCTCCTTCACGTAAACACAACACCCACCAAATCATTAATTGGAAGTGGACTGCTCGACTGGTGGAGCCTGCAGCAATCTTTGAGTGCTGAGAGAGACTAGTGATGGAAAGCCAAGAGAGTAGATCTCAGACATCAATCCATCAGCAATTGACCGCCACAAAATGCCTACAACTCCCAACACATGTTGTGTAGCCAATTCACTCCACTCATAATGCTCATGGAGTACTTATTCCTACCATTTGATGTTACAGGACAGTCTCTGAAAGTGAAATTACCATATACTACAAACTAAAATCTGTGACTCCTGAGATAGATGTACATGAATTATCCTAAGGGATGTAATATTATTATATTGGTGTTGACAAAATTAACTACTTGATTAGTCTTATGTATATAGGAAAACATTTATATTTTTATATGAAGAATGTTAAACTAAGATATTTAATGGTGTTGTGAAGCTTCTAATGAATTTCCAAGGGAAATATGGGTTAATTTTATTTGATCCTTTTTATTTTCAAAAACAATATCACTAGATCCCACATTTAAGCTCATGCAAGGTCATCATCCAATGTGAAAATACATAAATTAACTTGAGTAGGATGATACATAAGTAATTATTAATATATAAATTAATAATACAAAAGTAAAATATGAATATGGATATATCTCAAGAGTTTATTGAATATAAATTCTCTCATTTATCTTGAGAGAAAAATCTGAAAGCACATTGGCTTGCATAGATTAATCAAACATGGGGTATACTAATAATTTTAAGAATTTTATTATATTGGAGGTGTGAATGCTTCTTCATTTATTTGATATTTTTTATTTCGATGAGCATCGAGCTATTTGTCATAGATTAATCAAGTAATATGTTTTTTGATAAAAAAAAAACTTATATAGAATGATAATCAAAGACAAGGGGTGACAAGTAGAACAAGATAAACTTGCTAATCTAAATAAATGGTTTTGATGAATTTCCTTCCTTATATAAACAAACTAATCATTAATTGCTTATGGTAAATTAGGTTTTTTTTAATCAATTAATGTTGATCCTTCAAGGTGGAAGGACCTTTTTGCCCATGCCGCTAGAAAAGGAAATCCATCTTCCCTAAGAAATGCTCCTTCTTGCATTGGTTCACTTTCTATTGATTGATAGATATTTTTCATCTGATGTGAAGTGACAAAACTAAAATTTTCATATGAAATGATGCATTCAATCCTTGCTTGATCATAACCAACTGTCATTTGATATCCAAGGTTGTCTACATTTCATTTTCAGTCCATATTGGAACCTATTCCATTCTTGAAAATAATTTGATTGAATTTATCTCTCAACGTAATTGCATCGTGTGGAAGGTTAGCCTACACATGAAGTGGATACAAGACCTAACAGGGATGGGGAAAGATTAATAATGTTCTTAAGTTGGTGTCACTTTGTACAAACATATATAAGGCTTCATAAGTCATCTTGAACTTTATATAAGTAGGATATAATTATCATTTAAGTCAACCATAATGGAAGAATTAAAAGATATTTATTTATTATTTTAAGAGGGATATTGGCCTCCATCCCATATACTATAATTTTGAAGTCTTGTTAGATCCAAAATCAATATACAAAACTTACTTAAGTCAACTTATTTCCTCAAAAATCTTGAAAAAAAAATAAGATGAAGAGTCATGGAAAAAGATGTGCTACCATCCAAGACAGTGAATGAGACATTGCATATCTTGTTAAATAAAAAGGTTTATTTTTTTTAATATATGTGAATCATGATCACCTGAAAAATTTGAATCTTAGGGACATAAAACCATATGAAAATATAGTAACATATATATAAGTCTTAAAAATCCATTGAAGAATAACAACTTATAAAGAATAAAGGGTAAACTAGTAATCTCCTACTGTGGAGATAGACATTCTACCATCCATAAGGGGTGATAATTCAAGTGCTCTCCTTTTATAATTGTGGATCATAATACATAGAAAAGAAAGTGAATCCTAAGGATGTATGAATTATAAGATGTGTGATTAATAGTTGTGAATCCATATGAGCATGTTATTGCTGATATATAACTCATAAAAGCCTGACATGGTACCCATCTGAGTCCAGTTGCAATGAATTGTGTACCCCAAAAATACACTGCATGGACGGCGGATTTTAGATTTCCTTGGGTTGGGGCTCTCAAGATTTGGACAAAATCCAAGGGGGGAAGAATCTTGAAAGGGTCAAACGCAGAGACCAAAAGTGTCGGCGGGGCAGTTGCTGCCCGCATCATCGGCACGTGAGAGGATGGCGGGTGTGGGAAGATTTGGCACGAGCCAACACGGACCAGAATCCGACGTCCTCGCACGCACGCTTTGGGTTTCTTCTTCCCCCTCCCCCTTCGACCTTTCTCACGCTATGCCGCCCCCCTTAATTGGATTCCAATTTACCGCACCACACTCAACCTCCCTCCCTCCCTTCCCCTCACACTACTATAATATGTTCCCTCGCCTTCCCTGTGCTGCCACATCTCTCTCTCTCTATCTCTCTCTCTCTTCCTCTTTCTGCTGGTGTCTCAAGGTGCTGCTCCCTCTTCCTCCATCCTCGCTTCCTTTTCTGTGCTCCTCAGAGGTATGTTGGTTTAGATATTTGGAATCAAGTTTGATGCCTCACCTTTGTGTTTGTAGAGGGGGGAGGGTAGGAGATGGCGGGTTGCAATCAGGGGAATAGAGCTTCCCAGGGTGAAGAGGTATGATTGTGATTCCTGGTCATGTCATTCTTTTTTCTTTCTTCTACAAGTAAATATAGCATTAAAATCCATAAGTCGATCGATTTTTTCTCAAGTCAGTGGACATGAAAGAATGTTTGCTTGGGTTGATCATCCTGGAGGCATGATTCTTTTACGTTTGAATTAAGGCATCCCTTGCAATTATTATATAGCAGGAAAATTAATGTGAATTAGGATTGGAAAAGTTGAGGAGGCACAAAGAATGAGGATGTACAATTAGGTGGACTCAGTTTGGAGAAGAAATAGGAGATTGAGGTCTATTGCTTCATAAGCCACCTAAAATTTAAAGAATGTTGCAGGTTACACGGTACTGCTTTTGAGTTTTGATGGTTTCAGTGCTAGCTTCCATTTTGGCAATTTGCTTGTAGGGTTAGCTGAGGAATTGGGCAACAAACAAAAGTAATACGAGCTCTCACTGGCAAACTCTGGAATAAATTTGTACTATTCGTGAATGGTTTAAAGCTATTTAGGTGAACTGAATCACTGCTGAAAATTCTCATGTACGATGCCAAAGTTGCAGGTATCAGCTCTATGAGAGCTCACAATAGAAGAGTTTCATATGTGATTTGGTCCACCTAAATAGGAGAGTTGATAACTTTTGGAAGGCATTTTTTCCATGCTAAATCATTGAATAATTATTGGCTTTTAGTTCGTAAAGTGATAGCAGTAAGTTTCTGTATATTAAATGGAGAAGAGATTATTCAATCTACCAAATAAGCTCTATAACAAGCCATTAGGTAATTGTCATGCCGTGCATCCCTTGCGAGTCTCGATGTCGTGCTTTGGACATGGCTTCCCTTTTTTGTTTTGTTTTGTTGTGTTTTTTTTGGTGGCGTGTGCTGCTGATCCAAGATGCAAGTTGTAATGTCCGGATGAGTTTAAAGGTAGGCGGTTAATCTTCAATTTCCTTATTTTTATTGGACGGTGAGACATTTTGTTCAAGTCAAGGAAATAATATTGGGATGAAAAGAACACAAGAAGACAAAACTATCAATTATTTCAGATCTTCACAAAAAGTATCCTCTGATAAAACATTGAAGGATGTTTCAAGGCTTCCTTTGTGATACATTTCTTGAGAGGGGAAAATCCTACAGCTGTTTTTTTAATAATTTTCTTGGGCTCACTATTTACATTTTTAAAATTAACATATCTTAGGCTAGAAATTCTTTGTTTTGAATTAAATATTTCATCTCTCATTGGATTATTTATCCACTTTTGAATTACATATCACTTGCTACTTAATCTCAGGTGATCTTGGAGAAAAAATATGGAGGAATTGCACCAAAAAAACCATTAATCTCGAAGGTGAGTTTGTTTCTTTTGGGTGATTATGTTTCTACTATTTATGCATGGTAAACCATATAGATTCAGGAATCTAACTCCTGGCTTAGATCAAGCCTTTCATAGGTTTCTGATATTATTATTATTATTGCACAAGCTTCGGTGGCATAAGCTTCTTATTATATCTCCTAGCATGTTTATCTAAAGCTCTTCATGTGTCTAGTGTACTTGATTATTTCTTGCCCTAATCATTAAGCTAAGGTTTCTTTAAGAAATATTTTAAGGAATCAACACTCATCATGCTAGAATTAGGCTCACAAAGAAAGCAATCTCATTGGAGATGCCTGTTCAAGATGCATTGTTAGGTTATTCTTCTTTAGAGAAGGTATTGGACTAAATATTTAGGGAGGACTTTTATCAATGAAGGGCCAAGTGTAATCAAGGGCAACCTGCCTCTGATGGATTATGACCATAATTTTGTCTCAGATCTTGGCTAATACTGATGTACATGGTCATTACTGGTTGGAGATGATCATATGGAATTATCTAGAGAAATGACCCAGAAGACTCTAGAGTTGAATGGTGACCAGAATACATGTCTCATATTAAGTAATAATTAATTTGTATTGTTCTTGTTGGTTGCAGGACCATGAAAGAGCCTACTTTGATTCTGCGGACTGGGTCCTCGGCAAGGTAAGCTTATTAAACTTCCATGATACCTTTAAATGATTATATCCAAATACAGGGTGTGAGAAGTGGATACAGCAATAATATTTTCCTTTTCAGAAAATAGTCTAAAGAAATCAGATTATACTCGGCATTATAAGCAATCCAATGCAATCGCGTCATGCTTTCACTTCATTATTTCCCACTGATATCTAAAAGTACAATTATGTTGGAAAATGCTTTTCACCCTTCACATCGGGTCTGTGAGTGACCACACCACCTAAAAATCTTAACCAAAATGGTATTTACCATTATCATAGCAAAAAATAGGTTTCGCATGATCAGGTGTGTAATATATCACTCTACAAAATTTCTTCAGGTAATTTGCTTCTTAAAATGGTTTTGGAGCATTTTGCTTGTGTCATATCCTTTTTGCAAAAATTCATTGGGAATTATTTCAACGTGCTTGTTGCTGTATGAAATAAAGTTTCCTCTTTTCTGATATCTTGATAGTAGTGGAAAGAGAATAATCCAAAAAATGGTATAATGAATCAAATTATATTTGGGTTTTGTGAAATAATGTTAAACATATAACTAGACTGGTATGACATGAACTCTGTTTTTTTTCCCTTTCTGTAGCAAGGAACTAGTCCAAAAGCAAAAACTGCTATCGAGTCTCTGAAGCCCAAGCTGAAGGTATCTTTATTTCATCATTTTTTGTATCAGCACACTGTCACAGCATGGAGATCTTAGATTTCTTTTGCCTTCTTAGCTTAATTCCTTCTCAAGTTAATATTGTCTGGCTGAGAATTAGCTCACCATAAGTAGCAATTAGATAGAGGGCACTGCATGATACACTCTAGAACATGAAAATTGATTCACTCTGCTTCATCGACCTCAATATGTCTCTGTTAGTTTGACGCCATCATTTTCGCTGCAGCGTACTCCACATCATCAGCTCCCACCACGAAGGCCAACATGCACATCTGGTGTGGAAGATGCAGTAAGCTTCAATTGCTTAGCTTGGTTCCTCTTCTATCCAACATTATAAGCTTGAAATGGCTAGTTTTACGGCAAGCTTAAGTAAGCATAATTTAATTGTTTTGCAGGATTAAACTGCTGGTACAGTTGAAGTCTTTGATGGATCCGTGGGCTAAACCTTCATCTTCCTCCAAAAAAAAAAAAGGAAATATGCTGAAAAGTTTAAAAAAATCATGAAGTCATTCATGTGAAATGTCATGGAGTTGGTGATAAATATTCTGCACTTATTTGAGAATATGAAACATGGACTTCTCTACGGTTGCAACCCTTTGTTAATTCTAGAAATATAGTCACCGTGGTAAAGAAGATGTGTTCTTTTCGTTATTGGAGCATTCTATAACGGAAACTTTGGTTTCAAGTCGGCAATATCCACAGGACTAATCATGTCAGTGAGGATTTTAGCTTATTATCTGCATTGTTGGCTGCTAAATTATATATAATGGTGAATATTAATTTTGCAAAGTCGATTTTAACTTTACAATATATTTTCAAAAGCACTAAAATTACAAGAAGATAAAAATCCATATACGAATAACGCCTTCATCATTTGACATTCATTCAAAAAGGGAAAAGATTGCTAATATTATTCACAAATATTCTTCTATCCATATCCTGCATAAACTCTGAATGTTCAATAATTTAACAATTCCATGAAGCTTTAGGTTGAAAGGGCAGGAGTGGAAACAAGGCGCTATAAAATTGAATGATATATTTATTGTACCTGCGACATTGCAAAGCATGTAGCATTAATTCTTACAAGACAAACCGTGAACATTTAGAAGACTCACAAAGATTTGGAGGATTATCTGAATCTTGCATGCTTAGGGGTGGTCTTATTGTGCGTGCTGCTGCATTTAGAGCAGTACCAGTCCCCCTCGGGAACAGAATCAAGTGGAGGATCACAACAGTCAATATGGGTACCAATCCCACACCCTACAGCACCTGCCTCATCACCACAGATAAGCATCACTTCCCCCCTGCCGGCTGACCCACAAACAGCACAGCTGAGATCATCACTGCTTTCTTCTGACAACAATCTGGCATCTTCGCTTATCTCTTCAGAGCAGCTCAACAATTTTGCCAATGATTTCTCAGCCCAACTGTGTGTTTTATAGAGCACATGCTTCTCAAGAGAATAACCTGGTTTACAAACATATTCTACTAAGTAATCAGCTGCTACACATGGGATCTCATGCCTCAAAAACTCTTGCACCCACGAATCAACTCGTGGCATACTTGGACTGACAATGGCAAAGTCAACACCAGCCTTGAGGATGCGAGTGTACGGTGGAGAGGTTGCCAAGATAGTGCCATCTCCAGCTTTTACCACACGCTTCAATGTATCCTGGTTCAGTAACAGCACAACAAAAACATATGAACATTAACTAATAGCAAAACTAACGTTTGAATATAGTACTGAAGACCAAGACTCTTAAGTATAAATGTTCATTGGGTTCATGGCTATTATAAGGAAAATGACACTATAATAGGATTACATGGAAAAAAAAATCTATCTATATAACCACAAGATACTACCAGAGTGGGTGCGATACATTCTCCATATATGATGATACTCATGTTATAGAAGGCACCATGTCCTGTCCGCTCTCTCAAGAGTCGCCATTGCCTAGGAGCTTCTAAATTGATCGCACCATCTTCTGTAAGACCTTTCCTGTACCACTCAAAAGGCTCTTCCTCCAAGAATTTTCCAGCTTCACAACTAGCAGTTACATAATCTGTTTTCAGAATCCACCTGAATTCATAAGTCAGTTACAGATTAGGTGAATGAGGTGCCAGTTATCTACCAAGCGGCAAATGTTGTTTTTATAGCTAACTACTATACCACATACGTAAGAAAAAGCATCAAGCAAGTCTTAGGGCTACAAAAGTCAATCAAGTATGAGAATTTTGATAAAAGGCATTGTTTAAGTGGTACAGCAAATCCTGAACTTCATAGGAAAGCATTCATAAACCACTCAGTCCTCAGGATTACTTGATTCCAGTAACATACCTTCCAGCAGCAGCTGCTGCAAAGAACTTCTCTGTTCTGCGAACTGGGTCTGGAGCAATAAAGTGTGTCGCTTGATAGGACCAATGGTGGGAATCCCTGCAAATTTTTCCTCCAAGTCTTCTAATGACTGCCTGGAAATGCTTTCTCTGAATGCGTTGTCCACTTAAAATGAACCATGCAGGTTCCAAGTATATAATTTTTTTGGTCTTTCTTATTTCAATCTTTTGACTATTATTAGAATTCTGAATAAATTTTTTATCATGTTTGTTGACCAATTTACTGCTGCAACTGTTACTACAGTTAGAACTGAATCGGGAAACTTCCTCTGGCTTGTTCTCCTTTTCTGGATCCATTGATGTTATGTCCTTCCGATCACTGGTTGCATCCTTTTTGGCATTTGCGGGGATAGAAACTCCTGCAGCTTCCACCCTTTCCTTCATAACTTCATCAGAAAATGTCTCAACCACACCATTCCTCAAGTTTCTGCTTACCTTCTTATCCTCTGGTACCTTCATCTTCTCTACTTTACCTGAAATGACTTCAGCTTCCTTGAGATATTTATCTGGATTGTCAACATGTTTGTCTTTCCTACTGCTCAATGCATTATGCTTTGAGCTGCTACTCAAACTCCTCTTGGCAACAACCTTCTTAATGTATGAACCAGATGCAACTTTAATATTGTTTCCTTTACAAGCATCAGCACTAGCAGTGGTCAAGAAATTTCTGGTTGTCATGGCCTTGCCATCAGAAGATAGGGAAGCCTCAAATTGCTGCAATACATGGTTCTGTGTAAGTTCCTTCATCATAACATTTTGAATTTCAATCCTGGCAGTCTCACCATTCAAAGATTGGGTGCTGCGTTCAGCTTCCACTGGACCACCCACAGATATTTCAGGCCTTTTATCATTGCAAAGCATTTCATCAGTATGTTTGCCAACAGCCAAGGAACCAAACTGGTTTGCAGTGCTTCTCATAATTTCGCAATCATCTACCTGCATTAGCACATCATCTACAGGAATATTTGGGAGTGCCTTGCTATCCATAGAAGCAATTACATTTGTGGCCATCTGTGCCATGTTGAATAAATCAACTTTTCTGCATTCCTGCTTATCTAAACCCTGCTTTAGAATAGGAATGCTATGCTCAATGACATTTGAAGATTTGATCATAGCAGGCTTCCCATTTGAGAGTGAATTTCTCTTGCAGCTAAAGGACCTAGAGACAATTGTCTGTTGATTTACTGAATTTGAAGGCACTGCATCTTCCAAAGAGTGGTTGGCATCCATAGGCACAAGATACTTGTTTTCTTTAGGTGAAAGGAGAACAGGTTCTACTTGTGCAGATTCTGTATCTGGTGACTTACGCTGCAGGGAAGAATGCATCAAAGATTTAGGGGACTTTGAGCCACCTCCTGAAACAGAAACTTTTCTCTTTTGAGGCAAAACACTACTGGTTGCTTCCACGTTATTTATCCCAATATGTGCCATTGAACCTTGAATATTGGCTGGCTTATCAGTTGCTCTACTTCCTTTTGGTTCTGATGATAAGACATCAAAATCTTTATAAAGTCCTTTCGGGGAAGTATGAACTTTCATAAGTGATTCTTCTGGTGAAACTGACTTATTCCGAGACTTCTTTGAGAAAGGGACTGATTTGACACCAACCATACTTGATGTTGATACAGTTCTAGCAGACAATGGATAGGCCTCCTTTAAACTACCAGAATCAGATTGGTTAAAAAGTTCCCCACCAACCATAGCATCTCTTATGGCATGATCATTGCTAGTTTGTGCAACATCCCCCACATTCTGATGATGGACCTTGCTTCCAGGACTGCATTCAGACAAAGTGTTTCGAGAAAAGTTGTCTGTGCATGGGCTCGTAAATAATGTATTATTCATGATATGATTATCAGCAAAAGCTGAGTGAATTGTCATAAAAGTATCTTTTGGAATGCTGAGCTTTCCCCTCGATGGAATAGACAAATCAGAATCCCCAGAAAGAACTCCACCATCAGAGATAGATTTTCCCATACCACTACGCCCCACTGACCTTTTACCAACATCTTCAGTTTCCTCATCTGAATCCTTTGCCTCAGCCTCCAAAACCTCTAATTCCCAACCACTGTTCAAATAGAACACATATTTACAAGGAAACTTATCATGATAAATGATGGTAGTGCTGAAATAACATTATAAAACACCATTTTGTACCATATTTAGAAGCATTTGATTCGATATGGTAATGTAGACAAGATGAAAGGAGGGATATAGGAATCATGAGTCAGAAAAGCATGTTAGTCCTTTTAGTGGCTTGGAAAGAATAGCATAGAGCTAGTGTTCATAATTTCACTAAATGATAACCAAGGATCCTCTCTCCATACATGGAGGGCTTTTGTGAAGATAAGGCTTCGATATACAATAGCATAGAGCTAGTGTTCATAATTTCACTAAATGACAACCAAGCTTGCAGACACTTGACATGACATCTCAAGGACTTTGTATTTCCTAACAAATCTCCAGTTCCATAAAGTAAGCTGAATGACTCATCAAATTCTTACTAAAACAACAAGGGCAAGCGATAGAAATGTAACAATTTGATGTGAATAAGTTGACTTACAGCCATTAGATTAAAAAGGTGATTAAAGCTTATAGGAATTAAATCCATTAAAGAATTTGCACATAGTTTGTAATATGGGATGATCCTGATATACTACAAATTAGATATTGGTAAGGAACAAACCAATGAAGGAGGCCCCCACTAGTGTGAGGTCTGGAAAGAATTAATGAATGCAATCTTACTAAGGTATTTAGAGAATTATTACTTCAACCTTAAGTCTCCCAAATCCCAAACGAGCAACCTTACCTTTGCGCTAAGGTGTACTCTCAAATTTGTGTCTTCTATATAAAACTATCATTTGCCATCAATCTTGAGTATTATAATGTTAGTCATCACCACTGTGTAGTAAGATGAGAGAAAACGATGTAGGGAGCAAAATGGGAGTATCAAAAATAGTTCTTGAAATATTGAGAGGATGATACCACGGAATTCAGAATTAATCATGCGCCTCATGGTTCTCGCTTCAGACAATTTTTGTTCCACTATTTGTACTTCAACTATGTAAGGCTGAAAATAAAAGTTTTGAATCTTTTACATGACATAGATAAAAAATTTACTGCATAATACAATTGGATTATACATACATACACACACACACACACACACTGCCAAGGACATGCCAATATGTCCTTGGTGACTTTAATAAATTTGACAGTTGGAGTCCTCAACTGATTCTTGGCAGTCTATATATATGCCCTTTGAGCTACCAAATCATACAACTTTCAATATATTGAATGTGGATATTGAGAAAAACACTGAATGACCTCTAAAACTATTTTAGCTCTCTTAGGTTTTTTACCTTGTGTTAGATCATCTGAGAAACATCTGTATACTTATGGGATTATAAAGCTCAATGAGAACTGAGAGAATTTAGGATTATGAGAGCTAAGGATTAGCTTTTAAGTCAATGAGTACTATATGCCAGTAATTAGATTGAGAGAAAGTGCTTCTCATGAGAAAAAAATCTGAACTTCAAGCTTAAAAGAAAGAGCAGAGGGAAAGAATTAAAGAATTTGCCTTGGTTGTAGATTATTGGTTGTAAATCTGTACCTCAAGCATAAGGACTTGGGAAGTGGGTGTAAATCACTTGTGATCAAAGCACTATAAAGGGCTTGTGTCCTCTTTTCTCTCTCACCTATCTAGTTCTTATTGTTTTGATAATTGTTTTCTGCGCTGTGCTTGACTTGTGACTAATGTCTATAAGGATGCATTATAAGAATTCAATATACTGCATTCAAGGTTGATTTTGAGAAATTGAATCAAATCAGAATAGTTTTAGCAAAATAATCTATGAATTGAATATGCATCGGAATATGAAGTTTCCTCCCACCATAGTTGTCCAAGGACAAGCTTTGGAGAAGAACACTGAACTTATTGGATGATACACTCAAGAACAATGAGTGTCTTCTAGTCTATGCGTTATGAAACTTCAAGGATGCTTATGCATTGATGGATAGTCATAGGCCTACATATAGGCTAGACAAGGGACCCCAATTCATAAAATATTTAGTATCATACTTAATTTTATCCTTAATGCTTTCATCCATCATGAAAGCAATTTAAAACATTTTGAGGTAACCTCCACCTTTGTGACTAATAAAAATATTTTATTTAGTCATCAATGTTATGCAACTTATATCACCATTATCATGACAATAATGCAATTGAAATCGCAATTTGACTTATGAACCATGTTTATTGTGAGATTCCAATGACCTTTGGAATTCCAACATTCTCTCACTTGGTCCATATATCACAACAACATAAAATGGTGATGAATGATAACATCTTTAAATGACCAAAAAGACTCTAGTCACATCACAACTTATTCTCATGTAAAGGATGCAATACATGAATCATAGTGGTTGAATCCAATTCATAGAATACTCCCTTCCATGTATTACAATAGATAACACCCTCTAAATGAACACTTTATGAGTCAATTACTTTATGAATGATTCTTAATCATTTAGGGTCCAACAAACTTTATCTATGCATACTTTCTGTACACAAAAAGACTTTATTTATAAGAATTTTAAAGTAATATATCACATCAGATGCTAAATGAACTAATAATCCACATATGCTCCACATGACCTTTATATTGTATTGCCGCCAAACCTTTGGTAATAGGATCCACAATCATTAATTCAGTGCTAATATGATGAATATCTATTTCATGCTTCTTTATGTGATCTCTAACAGCAAGAAAATTTATATCGATGTACTTGTTGCAACTTCGACTTATATTGTTCTTAAGAAAGAAACAATGGTTGAGTTGTCACAATAGATCTTTAAGTCGAAAAATTTAATCAACAATATTTAGTCCTGAGATGAAATTACACAACCATAATGCCTATATAGTAGCTTCATAGCAACCAATAAATTCAGCTTAATTTTATCCTTAATGCTTTCATCCATCATGAAGGCAATTTAAAATATTTTGAGGTAACTTCCACCTTTGTGACTAATAAAAAATATTTTATTTAGTCTTCAATGTTATGTAACTTATATCACCATTATCATGATAATAATGCAAGAAATCATAATTAGACATGTGGACCATGTTTATTATGAGGTTCCAAGGACCTTTGAAATTCCAACAAATAGTTCTACATTGCATTAAATAGAGCTCGAACTTCCCCTTGGGTTGCCTAAACCCTTCAACGCATCTCTCTTGTCAGCATTAAGATTATTATCCATGACTAGTTATGGGCTAACAACACAAATTGACATGTAGATTTAGTAAATGTAACAACAGAAACCACAATTTAACTGGTAAATACTTGCATCCATTGGAATCATTAGTAAAACAGTAGCTGTGTTCTATTCTTAAGCACATACTCAAATGATATTTCTAAGAACCATGCTGTGAAAATTAGAAGTAAAATATTTACTTTCATTTGAGATTCCTTGTCAGATGAAATAATATCTAATGCACCCATAAAGATATTATTATAATGATCTCCATTCAAGGATTACTAACTGATGTGCTAACTAAACCACATTCTTTATGAAATCTATGGGGTAAAATATATCCAGACCAACAGACAGCAAGCTGCATTAGGCTTGGAGACACCAAAGACCTATTTAAAATTTTAAATATATATAGGTTAAACAAATAAAAAGCCTCAACAAAAATATTAAATGAGAAATATAAACAAATAAGCCCATAAGGAAGCTAAATGACAAAGAGAAGCATGAGCATTGGCCTGACCTCTTTGTATAATTATCTATTGGCAAGATTGCCCACGCTTTTAAGCTGAAGAAAAATCACAAAAAACACCATCAGCATTTTATTTTCATTTTCCTACAGCTATGGGTTGACATATAAATGTTTCCTTATGAAAAGTAGGGGAAATTAATCTTGCTTTACCAATCTTCCAGCCATCTATGATTGACAAGTTTGATATTCACTTTCTTAGCAAGCTCATATTTCTCACCTGAAAGCCAATAAACCAAGTCAAATATAGAATTTATTTTCACCATAGGTTTAATTTATTTATTCTACTGGGCATCTCCACTATATACTATAAGAAATCAACTTTTCCATTCTCTCTTTGTGTGACCGTGTGTGCCTTGGATGCTTGTATGTTTCTATTAATTTTAAGGGTGGTCAAGATTTTCCTTACATATTAAATGTGCCCACACTTTGTTTGCATATGCAACATACGATGCAGATAGACCTCCAAGAGGAAACATGAAGACATATTATAGGGCTCAATATTGAGCACTCAAGAAGATACACACTTCTGTACCACAACTAACCAACAAATATGAATATTGAAAAAGCAAGAATCCTACACAAGTTATTCTGCCATTTAAAGTAGACAGTACAATATATAATAACAGACACTATTTGAGCATGCCAACAGCCAGCAGAAGATTGTCATAAAGAAATCAGTTAACAGATTAATACAATCAACAAAATGAAACATTAGACAATTAAAACATCTAGCATAAAGTTGTATACAGAATAGCTTCAGTGAGTAAAGCCTTGTTCAAACTCAGTGATCATTATTGATTTTGAGTCCATACTTTTCATAAATGGCTCCCATATACAAGTCAAGCTTAAATGAAACCAATTTCAAGATATTAAAACAAGGGCCAGAATTGAATTACCAAAGAAAAAGATATGAAGTTCTAATGTTAAAGAAGTAAACTAGAAGAATAGTCAAAACAAATGATGGAAATTGCATAAGGTTAAGCATCATTTTGCACAATCTATTTAGTGTTTACATTTTAAATAACAAGAAAAGAGAACATGTATTGCACATCAAGTTTGCCATGACTAACATTACGGTTGATGTATGAAAGCAATAAATGAGGATTGCTTATTAAGATAGATGCAGTACATACCCTCAAATTTGTAGCAAATGAGATGGGTAACCTGGTTTGCTATCAAAGGCTTAGAGAACTTTGCCCCCATCAAGGAGACCATTTTCTGTGAATCATATGAAGTAATGCTGTGTTACTCATTAATATATTGCCAAGGAGATAATATGCTGTAAGAAAGAAAATCAACAATTTTAATATACAACAAAAACAAGCAATAATGTCTCAACTCTCAACTATTGCAATCCGGCAATATCATTAGTTAAAATCTCAGGTATAACCTTCTTAGGTTTTCATTTACCTCTCCTCAAACCACTATACTAATTCTCTCACATCATCTAATTACATCATCTATAAATCTTCTTGGAACATATTCATGTCATATAAGAGTTTTCTCATTTAATCCTCTACCAATACTATGTCTAACTATTCATTAATAAAAATATTATTTTTATATATTTCCTAGCAACTTCACACATTTCTCAACATTCTAGTTATTAACAACTCAAGGCTCAAATCCATAGAGCAAGACTACTATAAAAATTGTTTAATAAAATCTTCCTATTAATCTAAATGGCACATAGTGTTCATACAAAATTCATGATCCCTCTCTTCACTTTAACCATACAGGTTCTATGTTATAATACACATCTTCATCACACTATCAATAGTATTGAATAATATATGCAGAATCAGGGTCCTCAATTTTGATGTATACCACTTAATACGAGTAGTACATTCCGGTTTGAGAGGATATCAATATGCGGACTGCTCTCTACCAAGCAGTACTAGTGTTTTGACCGGTACCAAGGCATATAGACTGGTAATGTGTTCCTATATATTTGGTACATGCTTTAGAAAGTTCTTATATTATTTATTAAATATTAATATGTAGGACAGCTAAATGATTAGTCCTTGTAAATTTGAAGATTTTAACATATGCTAAGAACATGAAACTTGTCATGACTCAAGAGACCTAGTGGCTTTTTCAGCAGATGGAAAATCCAAAGTTTCATTAATAGTTGACACCTAGTGTTAACATATTACTTCTGAAACTCATCCCAATTCAGTCTGTATACTTACAACCACACTAAATGCATGCTTTGCCAAATCAATAAATAGACTAAGCTAGGTCCATACATACATTTGTATGTGTGTGTGTGTGTGTGTGTGTTTGTGTGTGCAATTCAATCTATTGAATTTTGCAATGTGAAATCTTTTGCTAATATTAACTTCAACAAAGCATGATCCTAGAATTTTTTTTTGTTGTCAATTGAAATCTGACATTGTCTTTCATTTGGCATGAGAATTAAATCTATGGTTGTTAATAAAATAAAAAATAACATCCCATCTGTGCAAGAAATAACAAGTCTAGAAGACAATTGTCTATGATATTTACTAATTTAAGAGTAAGATCCTTCCTTAAGTCAAAGTACATTTCAATTTCAGGAACATTTCAGAATAATGGATTCCATGATCAACCATGTTGGAAAAGTTAATGGCAAGCTTTTTAAAAAAAAAAAAATTGTCCATAATAAATATATAGCATAACTCTTTAAATATGCAGAGCATTAGCATATGTTTTTGGATTTAATTTTTAAAATGTCCAATAGTGATAACATGGCAAGATGCTAATGGCATGCCTGTCTCACAGCAAGGTCATCAAATGGGAAAAAACACACAAGTATTACCATGATATCATCACGTTCTTGCCTTTGATATCCAGTCAAGCAAATATGCAGTGACTTACTGCCAGGAATTCCATTCAGATCTTTTACAGGGCAATATAATATCTGCAAATAGGACATGAGCACACCATCACTAGTAGCTAGAAACAAGTAGAAAGGAAAAGTTATGAGGAGGATATCTTGTGATACACACAAGCAGAAGATGCCAATAAGACATCCCAAATTGAACCACAATACAAAGGAGTTAGAACTACGAAGAAAAGTGTTTTATCATTATCCACATTTATTTTGCACTTAAATAAGCCCACGAAATGGTCCAGCATGTTGTCTGCAAAAGATAGTACATATGTAAATCAGTAGAAATTCCACTATTTTTATTTTAGGAATTCAAGTCACAGAAGGCTGTCATCATATAACTAAAGGTCTCCCCCTTGGACTTGTGTTGTCATAAGATTATTCAGGCTCATGGACTTCTGTATTGAAGTGATACGAATAAAGAATGTCAGCACAAGAGATTCAGCATTTTATAGAAAAGTTGTTTGCCTTTCAAGAGTAGGATCCCTAATATTAGCATAAGCATGGTAATGGCTCAGGTTAACATCCAGAGAAATTAAAACTTGCCTTTGTAATGAACCAGCAATACAAAGCACCATCATCAATATTCAAAGTTGCATCGACAAAATTGACATTATTAGCTTATTAATACAATTAGATAATTATAACCATCAATATTTTAAAACACTTGAATACTTTCTACTAAAAGTGGAAGAGTCTTTGCAAAACAGAATAAACAGGATACCATAAGTATCTAGTGATTTATTGCAGGGATCAAGCATAAATTAATAGTTAGGTGCGTGCCTGGACAAGGAAATAAAATGTTGTTCACATTAATGTGGCAAACACACTGAATTTTCTATAGATATTTGCTGTCAACCTATTATTCTTAAATTGCTTTCAATCATGCAGACAAGTTGCACCAAAAGCATCTAATGACCAAATTACATAACATCGTAACTTGAGAAAGGACGAGAGAGACTGACCCTTTTAGCATCAGCAAGCATTCCAATGTCCAAACTGACATCAATCCACAACTCAGTAACCAGTATTTTCCCATCATTCCGGGCAGCAACGCATACAGGATCCTCCTTCACGAGAACATCAGCATGTAACTAATCGATTATTCACAAAACAACCCTGCCTGATCAAATCGTACGACTTACATAGACGCGACCAGACACGATCACATGAGTACAACTCCGATCATAGCGACCGACATCGATTCCCCCTCTTCGCACAAGCTCAGAGCGATACTGAAACAAAAAAATACCAGTAACACAAAAAATAATGACCAAATTTGTACGATGGTGAAAAGAGATCATCAGGGCAGGACCAACCTGAGCTTCTGATACCGAGTCAAAACCGAAGAGAACGAACCGAACGCCACCGAAGATCTTATCCGGGGCGCTTGAACTCGAAGACCCATGAGATCGGTGCATTTGGGGACCGGGGACGTTCGACGGAGCCCTAATCGGACGGAAGAACTAAAACCCAGGTGATCGAAGAAGCGGGGTTTGCGACCGAAGGAACTCAAGGAGGCGGGGATTGAAGTTTGGATTGGGAATAAGGCGGCTTCTCAGTGGGGGAAGAAGGAGGCGAAGCGCGCGGAGAAGATTTGGGAGCGGGGTTTGTTTTGGTGGGGAGGGGCCGAGTGAGGGGGGATTTTTGAGTTGGGGTTTCGTTTGGGGAGCGTTGGGCGGGAGAAGAGGCTTGTCGTGAAAAATAGCTGCTCACGTGTCCCATGTCACGTGCTGATTCGCTTTGCTTCGGAAAGCCCGAGGCCGGCTCGGGTCCGTGCCGGGTCGCTTGGGTTGGGGCTGTCTTGGCCCGGCTCGGGTGCGGAGCCGAGTTGGCACATTATATGATAGTTGCCGGAATCGGCTTAGTCAAACCTCATGTCATTAACTCATGGGCCGAACCGACGGATCAATTAGTGCGATTGTAGGTCTAATAAATTTTCTAAAAAATAAAAAAAAAAATTAAAAATAGAACACTAAAATAATAATATCAATGAAATATTTTGTATTAAATAAAATTTTATAATCCATATATGTATATATTCAAAAGCGAATGCCTTTATATTAAATGAAATTTTAGAAAAAACCTTTGTTTTCACTTTTCATCACAGACCTCAAAGCATCACTCCTTTTACAATGTGATAAAAATATTTTTAATCCATCCAATTGGAGCAACATATCCCATTGATGGTAGCTGATTGAGAGAAAGGATTTCTTCCTCCGTTACATATCTCAACATCCCACTTGTCTTAGAAGAAGGCAGCAGTAAGAGAGAGCAAACCAAAGAATGGTTTGCTACTGTACCAACAGAATTCATTATATGCCACCAAATAAACTAGGCTTAAAGACAACAGGAGACTAGTTATACTTTCCATCTAGTTGAATCAAATTAATGGATACATCAGCTACGAATCATGTTTGAGCAGTACATTCTGTTGACATCCATCCTAGTAGACAAAGCTAAGTGGACTGAATCAGCTAACTTAGGCAGTAAGGTAAGGTAGAAATGATGCTCTACTTTATGCGGAAATCAGCTAGAACTTCATCAATCAAGGAGCTCAGTATCTGTCCTTGAATCTGTTTGCCAGTTTCAAATGCCTCAATCTCAAAATCTACCCACCTTCCCAAGTGAGTGCCCATGTCATTGAACACAAGCTCATCTACCATGCAGTTTCCCATGTTCTTCCATCTTAAAATCTCATCATAAATGTCTTCGGCCAAATCCTTTCTAGTGATCGTTGTTCCTTTGGCCCATGCTTGATATCCTGATTTAAAGTACTGGTTATGTTTCAAGTCCATACATTCTTGAACACAGTCATACAATAACTTGCTCCTTGCCTTGTCATTTATCACCTCTCCTTGTGCATTCTTACTTCTGCTGCCTTCAAGGTCATTCAGAAGAATAGGATCAAATGTCTCACCAACACGAGTTAAATAATATGAGCCCAAATTTTTGTATGTTAATCCGTTGTTGCACAATATCTCCTTCACATATGCTAATTCCTGTTCGTCTGCTTTCTTATTGTCTGCACTACTGAATTGTGACCGCTCCACTGGATCCTTAGATAAGGAAGAAGCGGAATCAGATAATTCGGGCTCTGTTTCAGCTAATTTCCTTGAAGAATTGAAGTCAACAATATTCTGAGCATTGACAGAAGATGGACACAGATTGCTTCCTGGGGAAATAAACAGAATATTTCATTGTAATAACAACAAACTAAATTAGTAGACGGATTAAATAAATTATGTTTACCATCTGTACTTCCTGAGCTCTCAGATAACTGCCAACTTTCACTTGAGAAGGATGCTTCAAATATGGAAAGTGGACTGTGATGATGGTAGTTGGTCACCTCCTTGCGGGCATCACTGCTCCTGCTGCTACTGCTGCTGCTGTGTTCAATCCTTTCTGCTACCTGAAATAGCGTTAAAATGTGCCAGAAGGAGTTAACACAACTTTTAACTTGCCACGGGAATTAATTTCTACAACTAGATAGTACTTAAAGGGCCACCCCAGACACTATGGCTTCTTGTTGTTATTAGATGCTACTTTAAACTGATAAATGGAGGTATCAAGAATAAGCCATTCAGCTCCCAACTCATGCAAATGTTCCCGTCACTAAAGCTGAAGCATACTTTCCCTCAATGAGAAGCAGCTGACTACAAGATGTGATGGAAAACTCAACTGTCGGCACATTTTCTCCAAGTAGATATGTTAGTATTTTCCATATAGTATAAATGAAGTAGTTTATCAATTAGCCAGCTTAATAAAGATTAATAGTGTGATTCTCTACACTATCTGTACAAGCAGCTTAAAGCAAGAATTTTTAACATCATAATAATCATGGGGTCATGCATAAATATGTACACTAGAATCTGGTCTTTTCTATCTTAAGAGCCAAAACCTCATTGATAAACTAAATCATTTTGGTACCTACGACACATGAAAACTGCAGAGACAACTTAAAAATATTCATGTAATGCATGGTCCAAAAGGCACTATATTTCTAGTCTGGCAGATATACCAAGTTAAAAACCCTGAGTAACTTGTGCATTTTATGTTGAAAGAACAATTAAACCATTCCAGATTGCATAAATGAATTGTAAAAGGCAGTGACAATATCCAACCTGAATTTTTTCTATGAGTTAGGCATATATTCTTCAAAAGTTAATAGATTAGTTGACATACATGATTAAAACTACTGACTTTATCATAAATTTAAAATAAAATAATGAAAATTTGTTTATATACTCATTACTCAATATGATAAGCATGTTGCAGGCTCAGACAATTTCTAGTGGTGTAATAAGAATTATTCCTGACCATTGTTGGTAAAGCTGTTTTGGCTACCAAACAAAATAACCAAAACAAATATTCTGGTGTTTATCAAAATGAAAAGAATTAATAAACATAAATCATTGTAATATGGTAAATAATTCAGGAAACATTAAACATACCTGCATCTTATTCTTGATTCCAGTCACCTGATCATTTGTCGACAAAATGCTAGTGTCATATAAATTGCCAAGACTATCTTTGGGTGGCCTTACTGGGAAGTCCTCATGGTCTGCTGTCACAGAGCTCAAGCAATCGGAACCAGATTTTGAATCCTGTGGAATAGGAACAGGAGCTGCAAACTTTGCTGCTTTTATGAAGTTATGGGATGGTTCGATCCCAGATGTCAGTTCCCGTAGTTTCTGTTCTAAAAGATGGCTCAACGCATCACCACTTAAAACATTCAACCCTGGAGATGGTAGACTTTTTCTATTTACATCCGAAAAATTCTTTTCAAAGCAGCCTCCATTCTTTTTATCCCATTTATCCACCATCAAATTGCTAGATTGAGATCCACCAAATGTTTTTACCAACGGGGATGTGAATGTAAAGGATATGATATCTGTTGCATTTCTGTTATCCTCAGAACGCCTCGTATGCTCATCTACTACAATATCAGGTTTAACATGTGTTTCATGTCTGTTCATAAGCCCGTTATCTATTTGTGAACTCTTCTCAAGGTTGAAGCTCCCTTCTATTAACCTTTTCTTTTGCGGGAAGTCCTTGTTACTGGATGATGACCCTTCCGTATCAAGGCCTGTGATTTCTAGAACTTGTTTCCTGGATCCAACTCTGGAGTTTCCTGAAATCTTGTTTACATTCCTATTCTTTCCAGAGGAGGCATCCCCAGATAGAACTTTCCTTCCTTGCTGATGAGAAATCGACTGCTTTGAACCCAATTTGCCTTTACTTGATAGGCAATTCTGTTTCTGATTGTTTTGTCTGAGGACACCAGAAACACTGGCCGGGGAGGACTTCTTCAATGGCCTATTCTTTTGATTGTTTGCTTGGCTCCTGAATGGTTGGTTTGCTTTATATTCTTCTTGCTCTTTCTGAACTGCTGTACTCCTAGTTGATGGACCTAAGCCTTCCCTTCTCTGAACATTAACTTTAGCTTGGATCGCTAAAGAAATGGATTTACCCTTAGCTCTTGCTCCAGCTACATTGATTTCATAAGGATCTGGAGAGGACCTGACTACCACAATCTCTTCTGTCCTATTCCAGTTCCTGTTCAAGGGCTGTTCCCTAGAGAACTCTACATTAGTCAAGTCAATGGGTGTTCTGGATAATTGTAACAACCGCGATGTCCTCTCTGGAGCTGCCATGCTATCCTTTGGATCACGAACTCTTATAGGTACTGAAGGTGACCCTATTTTTCCCTTTGTATTGGGATGAACTTGAAGCCCTGGCTGAATAATCTTTGCAGCTGCTTCCATAATTTGTGTTGCACTTTTAGCTGAGCTGAAACCTGGGTTTTTGATTGGTGACAACAACTTGTGGTGGCTTAGTGGTAGAGGCTTTGCTGACCTTGGAGGTATTATCTCCCTTTGGAACCTTTCTATTGGGCTGCTTGGCATCTTCTGAGACCTTGTTTCCATAGTCTTCCTGAAACATCCCTCAGCTCTATGGGGAACATGGTGGCATCTTTCATTTGTGTAGAAATCAGGACTTCTTTGGCCATGGCTGTCACGAAGAGATCGTGTGTCGAAGAAAGGAGTGGAGTAAGGCTCTGAGACACCCACTGTTGGCATCGAATCGAGACCCATAAGCCTGGCTACGACTCCTGGGGCTCTTGTCCCATTGCCCTCTTCATCAGTCACTGATGAAGCGCAACTGTAGTCACTACTTCCTTTGACACTTGCTATTCCAAGTATCTCATCCTCATCAAGCTGGCAATACAATAACAGGTGAGTAATAAAGATGAATATAAACCAAGGTAAGTCAACCTACAGAGAAAATAATTCCATTCGACGAAGTGCAACAAGACAACTCACCAAATGGAGCTGCGTTGCCGGCAAAGTATCGTTGCTTCTCTTTCCTTGCTTCGTGGCCTCTGCATGATAAACATGAGGAAAGAATCCAGTTCCAATTATGAAGGGAAGAATTACTAAGCATCGTGATTTGCGAACGGGGCAAGTAGATTTACCAGGTGAATTGGAGAACAATTTCTTCCTTGACTTCCGGTTCCAATCGAAGAGGTGAAAGAATCCACCAGTCTTCGAACCACCCCTTTCTCCTCCCATTGTGAATCTTCAAGTGTTTATGAACCCTTCAAAGGCACATTTCACCTTTAATACATCGTCTCTGTAACTTCACAAGAGGAACGAAAACAATCGAAGTACTTCAGTGCCAGAAAACAACTTCAGCTCTCCAAAGGTATCAATAGCGCAGATCCTACTCATTTGCACGCTCAACGAGTAAATCAACCAAGTAAGAACACAAGAAAATTACTGATTCGAACAGAGAGAGACATGAACTTCACAGAACAAATGAGAAACAAAGTACAAGCTTTAGATCTATTCAATAAATCCCACAAGAGCCCGATCGATCTAAATCTTCAATCCAGTCGACGAATGAACAAACCAAGAAAACAGCACAAGAGAAAAACATTTCCAAAAATCACAGTTTGCTTCCAACCGATCCATTTCACCATAAGAAGAACAAACTTTCCGAAACCGAAGGGCCAACCTGAACCCAGAGGGAACTCAATCGCCCAACGGGATCCGCCACGCCCCGCCTTGCTCTCTCCAAGAACCGCCCGTGAGTCCCGGCTACGCCAAGGGTGTTGGTGGCGAGAGATCGGGTTTAGCCCTGAGACCGTCAATGGAGAGAGAGCGAGATCGGGTTGATAAAGTAATGGCCAGAAACGCCATGGAATTAATATATAGCAAGAAAAAACTTAAATTAAAAGGGGGCGACCGTAACCCAACGGCTCTTTTGGAGGAGGGAGATCCATTTCAAATTCCAAACGATTCCCAAGTCTGCTCCAACCGCTCCTATATGTCGGTCTGTGCGGATACGCATCGGGCCCTTCGCTTCTCGTACCTGAAACCATCTCGTCCGTTTATCACGGAGCACGAAGAAAAAGGACGGCGGATCGAGGGCTCCTCGTGTTACGGGACCGGTTCGGGCAGTCGGGATCTCCTGCTTGGGCTCCACGGCACGACGACCCCGGTCGATGACGTGGTGTCGCGTGGTTGAAAGGTCCGGCGGGGTCCACATCAGGATCGGAGGACGTGGAGCTCCAAGATTCGAGTTCGAACAAACGTGGCACGAAGGGCCCCGCAGGAAGAGGACACTGACGCGCACCGTGTTGGAGTGCAGCGTCGCTGGTCCGCAGCAGCAACGGCACCCCATGACCGCAGGAAAAGCTTTAAATACACACTGACGACTGTGTGTCTTCTTCACCTGAATCCTACAACAAAATTTGACATGATTTATCAAATTAAGATGAGAAACACGACAATATTTTTGAAGTGAAAGATGTGAGGATAGAATTTTGTACTAAAATAGAGATTGAAGATACATTCGACGAAATGCATCGAGCAACATCGCAAATGCATCAGTTTGTCCATTGTCGCATAAATTATGAGTCTCAAATTCAAATACATCATTTAATATAATAATTTTTTTTATTTTTTAAAATATCAATTTGGCCATTTCTTTTATTTACGTTTAAATAGCTATAGTCGTTATTACTTGACATTGAAAAAACATCAAGTTGAAAGGAAGCAGCATATAATGTTGTTTTCTTTTGAGACTATATCGATTCGACGACATACCGGTATGTGGATCACCCGTCACCGGACGGACCGTACTCTAGTGCTATAATAATAGCTACAATGTTATATTGTAAATAGTGCTACAGTACTACAGTAAGAGGAAATCGTCTTGATAAGTCCTGGTGTACCGTTCGGTACGCCGATACCGTACCGTACCGAACCAATCTCGAAACACCGATACGATACGATATTGAAGGTATATCATGTAATAAATGACTAAATATTTTAACATCACTTGCTAATTTATAACCCTTTCCAAATCCACATAGACACATAATTGCTCAACATGCTTTTATCACAAAGGAATATTGCCTGCACTAGTAGTTACATACCCATGACCAGAGAAAAAGATGGAGCAGTAGAGAAAGACTGGCTACCTAATTCATTTCATATTGTGAAGTTGGTGTCACGATGAAACCTTTCAAAGTCCCAATGATTTGTAGTCACCAGTATCTTCTAAAGAAATCATAGTCAACAATGGATTTCACACAAAAAACTGCTCGAGAAAACATAAACAGAATCCACAGTTCTACCTAAAATTTTAATAGCTATATTCCTTTCATCATCTAGAGTGCATTTGAAGTTGGCATTAGCACTCGGAAAGAAAAAGTGGGAAATAGTGATCTAATTCCAACTGATGGATGGCAACAGTCTGGTAAGGACCCGTGATCTTGGTTTGGCCAATGGATGCAATTTAGCCAGCCATGAAATGTGGTAAATAACTCTTCCAAGAAAGGCCGACTAGCTAATTGGAATCAGCAGGAACGACCTTTAGTCATAGCTGCAAGTGTCCAGTGCTCCCTACAATATCTTGCAGCTTCCGAGCAGCAGCATTCAGAGTATCACTGCCTTTACAGAAAGCGAACCTAACATATCTTGTTCGCAGGTTCTGATCATCAATGTCTCCATGAAAGAATCCACATCCGGGAACAGCTGCCACTCCTGCTTTCTCAATTAGTACCTTGACAAATTCGATCTACAAAACATAGACATTAAGCAAACTTTTGTCAGCAGGAATATATATGCAATTTATACAAAATTATTTGTTGGAATGTGAAAATATATGTCAGATAAGCTGCTGTAAAGAGCTGGATCACTATTTTCTTGACAAAACTGAATCATATGCAAGCTCTGTTTTTGTAATATTGATAAGTACATGTGTTCTCTCATAGGAATGTTAAGATCACCATGGAGAACATTCAAGTTCTCTACTATGCTGCAGATATAACAAACCCTCAGACTGGAAAACCTAGGGTGAAAATGTTATTTCGATGATATGAGATATCATATTTATGTTGGGTATTATCTAATATTCAAGTTTATGTGTCAGATTGCTAGCAACTTTGTCTTATGGATATGGTCGGATGTAATCTAAGAACACAACTAACAAAGCTAGTTTTGCGTCTGCAAACATGTGAATGCTCTCTGGTGCGTGCAAAATAGCATGAAAAAGACTTCTGGCTGCTACACCGTACAGGCTATATAAACAAGTAGATTGACATTCAGAATTCACATTTAGAGAATTTAGCTGCACAGAGATGGAAATTTGCGTTATATAATTCTACAGGAAGAATGACCAAAAATTGTTAAGACCTTACAAGTTAGAAAGCAATGTCACCTACATCGGAAACTAGCCAATTCTTTGGTAGCTCTGCAAACACAAAAACTGATCCTTGAGGTTTGAAGCTTATTTGAAAGCCAACATCAGATAACATCTGGATTACAAAATCTCTTCTCGCCTCATATTCCTTGAGTGTTATGCAACAAAAATATTGAAGGCCTTCCTGAAGGTAGTCTCATTTCAACCACATAAAAAGAAGAAAAAGTAAGATCAGTTGCTCACTGCTTTCAGAGACTTAAAATATCCTGGTGGACTCTGCAGGGCTGCCAAGGCTGCTTCCTGGAAAGGTGAAGGAGCTGAATCTGTGATGCGGACATGGATATTTTTTATCGCTGATGCAACGGTGGTCGGTGCACAAGCCCAGCCAATCCTCCAACCTGTTAGCTCTCAATCATAATACCCGAAAGATTGGCCTGAATAGTTTATGATGTAACTTGCAAAATAGCCCTCTAGAGTAGGGCCTTTTTGGGATATCAAAGATACAAAAGACAAATCTAGTTGGAATTTGGACTAGAACATAACAAGAATTGAACAAAAGAACAATTTGGGGGATTTATAAAATAAATAAAGTTAGCTGTCATCAATTGGCTTGCATCTTAAGGCTCTACTTTGCAAATAATTTGTTGCCAATAATTCATCATAGCTGCTGATTCACAAATAGTTTTTCTTTTGAAAATGTAAATTAAGGAAGATAACTCACAAAAGCAAGCTACCAAATTTCCATATTCAGCTGCCAGCATAAGCATACATGACAGTGAACAGGACACCCAGAGCATTTGCAACATTGCAATCGGATTGTGGCCTCTGCTGCTCACCTGTTACGCTAAAAGTTTTGGACAAGGATGATGTGATGATTGTCCTTTCTTGCATTTTGGGAAGGGAAGCAAGGGATATGTGCTTTTGCAAATCAAAAGTTATATATTCGTACACCTGAAATAAAAGTTAAAAACAAAGATTATTATGATAAAACAAGTTGACTTACAGGCTAAAGTTTTATCCTACAACACTGTTGGTAGTGACTGATGATACTTGAAGCTGTGTAAGACAACACAATTAAAGAAGTGATAGATTATCAAATTATTATCCATACAATGTGATACTTGAATTCTCAGATAAATCTGATCACTTATTTGGATACTCATGCAATTTTTATTAAGATTTTGGGCTAGTTGTTCTTGTTACTGACTAAATTAGGTCCACTGTCATCTTATGACATCAGGGTTGGTTCTTTATTTTTTTGTCCCTCTCATAATTCAGTACTTCTATAAATATTTTTTATCAAGATACCATATATGAAATTGAAGGACCAAGCAAGATGGAAATATCATTCATAGACCTATTGTTTCTCGTATTTCCTATTGGATAATTAGATAATCCAATACTTCGATTCAGATAATGATAAATGTCAGACATGGAGATAAAAAACCAAAAAGAAAAAGCTATACATAGGGAAACACCTCTATAAATTGAAAATTTACCAAGGAGATTTCACATTAATGCCTCATATCTGCCAAGCAAGGTCAAAAATAATTAACAAATTTAGAATCTAGAGTTCCCACGTTCATCACCAAATCATAGACTTCCAGTGGCTAATTTAATTTATGCATCAATTGGATGATAAAAAAGGCAACATCCACACACCAAACTCGATATATCAGCTGGGTCTTATTTGATCCTAATTTGGTTTATGGTTAAGACTTAGCAAGACTACAACTATTTATGCTTTTTCATTATGTATGCTTACAGGTAGTAACGTAACTAGGATATGCAGATGAGGGAACAATTAGTCAAGAACTGTCTCAAGCAAATTTGTCATTTCTTGTTATCCAACATATATGAAAAGTTTATTTATATAATTTAAATAGATAAATACCATACCAAAATTTTCAGAATCCACTATCTGAAAGATTTTTATGTGTTTCTGTCCGAAACTGAGTCCACATTTAAAATTAACAGTCAACTATGTTACGTGAAGAGCTATTTATTTCTGCAATGGCAAAAAATTGTATAACCAAAAATGCAGGCAGACCACAGATGTGTAGCCCAATGACAAAGATAATCTTTGGCTTGAAAGGGACAGTTCCAATACAGAGTCAAGAAATCTTATTACATACTTCATCTGTAATAGCCAAACAGTCCATCTGGCAGCAAGCTGCAGCAATTGCTTCAAGCTCTTCCTTACTGAAGACCTTTCCAGTTGGATTGTGTGGACTGTACCAGTTCTAATTAGTTGTTTGGTACAATCTAATTTTCTAAGAAGATACAACACTGCATTTAATATTATGCACTTTGAAAAGAATTGGTAAGAATAAAGTTGATAGGACACATGAAATTTTTTCATACTTATTTTAAGAATGAACTAGATGACAAGATAAGACACCTTTGGATAGATAACATCATTCAAAAGCAAGTGATCCACCAACAACTGGAAAAAACACCTAAGATGAACTACAAAAGGACTTGCGTTTCGCCCGGACCAGTACAAAATGAGCAGCACATACCGGTCCAAGCGCTAACCGATACGCGGACCCACCCCCAGTCTGGTCCACCATATAAAAGGGAAAGTGGGAAACCCTAAATCCCACTTCCGTGCCACCTCTGCTTCTCACGCAGCCGTGATTGATGCTGTAACTTCTCCCCTCCATCTTCTCACCGCAATCGATGCCTCTGCTTCTCACGCATTGCCACGACCTTGCTGCACATCGTCACACATGATCTTTGTCCTAATCACTTCTTAGGTATGTCTCTTCATCTCTTTCTCTTCCTCTTCCTTCTTCCTCCTCCACCGCTTTCTCTTCTTCCCTCTTTCTTCCTCCACCATCCCTTCCTCTTCTCCCTCTTTTCCTTTCTCTCCAAAACACCGGTACCTACCGATGTACCATGTGTTGGTACATCGGTACAGACTGGTATGCATTGATCCAACAAATCTCCGAGATGGGTCCGGTACCCGAAACAACGAATATTGCTAGTACAACCTATTGAGAAAAACAAGAAGTTACATGTATTAATATGGGGGACAGTTTCTAGGAAACATGACACGGGTAATTCATCCAACCTAGTGGCCATCACTGGCACAGGTAATTCTTATCACTGAATTGTGACAGAAGACAATGAATTACACATGAATGCATTCATGTAGGAAGATCACAATTTCCTTTCTTTATTTTATCCCGATGTTAGCTGCTTTCTAATTTATAATATACAATAATATCATTATAACTTTTATGTCACTAGATGTTCTTAGCATCAAAGATGAACCCCTTCACAGCATCAAAGAGAATCTTGTCAGAAAGAGATTCTTAAATTATAAGTTATGTAGCAACAGTCTATGAAAACATAAATAACATCTAAGAGTTTTCTAGAAGCTTTCATGCTGATATGTGTAGTCAGCACAACATGCAATACCATGAACAAAATCATTGATTGGAATCAAATTGCACATGCAAGATACACAGTTTTGTCAAAGGTAAGACTTATATGAGGAACTAATGCAGTTGAGCATATCCAACATGATGTTTCATAGCTAAACATCTCAAATGTTTTAGGTTGAATGGTAACAGTTTAATGATAGAAATTAAAACATGAAGGATAGAAATATGCAAAGTACAAAAAAATAATATTTCATGTTATGAGTGCAGAAATAAGATACTAAAATAAACCAGAATGCACAAAAAATGAACTAATGCTTCACATCGATTCGACAGCATTGTATTAAAAGTTTATTCCTTGTCATCTATAATTTTATCAAAACTGAACAAAATGCAAAGGAAGTGCACTTATATAAGTATTTGGATAATATAGTACTGACCTGTTCAAAACCACAGCTTTTGTTCGACTGGTAAAGGATTTCATAAATTTATCTACATTTAGTGTCCAGTGAGGTGGCTCCAGTGGTACATTGACCTTTGGTGATAGATTAAAGGTCCAAAATGTAGACAAATGACTCGTCAAGTGACTTGAGAACAGCTTAAACAACTTTAAAAGATATACCTCGTCATGAAATCACAGGTGCAGAAGAGTAACGTTGATGTACAAGCAGTGTTGTTAATTGTTTTTCGCAAGTTCCAAAATTACTGAAATTACAATTTAACTTACAGGGATACCTCCAGCTAAAATTATGCATGACTCATATGTCTCGTAAGCAGGATCAAAGAGCAGAACCTCATCACCCTGATCAATTGCTGCTAGACAATATAAACAATAATTATACACTTAAGAATCTCAAGAACACAGGTAAGGTTCTTTCTTTAAAGACTTGAAAAACAGATAGAAATATCCATACTTGCCAATATGGTTGCAGCAAAGGCCTCTGACTGACCACAACATATCACAAAATCTGTAAGAGCATTTACATCAAGACCATGATTTTGTTTCATCATTACTGCCAACTGGTCGCAAATGCCTTGAACATGCCTTGAAGGAAAAAAAAAAAAATATTTGATATCAGTTACAGGTAATTAAACATTTTAAATGATAGAACTCACTGACAAAATCTTGCTGGAAGCTGAATTTTAATGTATTGGAGACTGACAATTTTAACTAATCAGTGCAAATACAATTTCTCAATCAGGTTTACTTCTATTTTCATACAACAGAAAAACCAAATCATAAGCATGTGCCTAAAATGTGACATTTCATAATTTTTTTCTAGATCTTCTAAAAGATAATCAATAAGATGTTTGGTCTGGTTTCTTTCCAAAGTGAAAGAATAATAAGATTTGATTCATGGATTTGCAAAAGAGTACTTGAACTTGCCAGCGAATAAAAAGTATGTGTCATGACTGAGTACAACTGATGATAATAGAGACAGAGGGATCAGGAAAAAAAAAGTCTGGCTATATGAAAGTCTGAGAGTTAGTTGGACTAAGATCCCATCCAAAGAGAGATAGGTACAAGGTACCTAAAGCTCCAATGTATATTTATTGCGCAATGTTGGCTTTTACAGTGGCATTTTAGGTTATACCTGAAGCATCACAATGAGTTAAATCAATCATTTATATGTACTTTCCAACAATGGCAGGGAATTATTGTATGAATTGAGCACATGCATTTGGCCAACTACAGCATAACCAGGTTAACCAAATATATGGTCACAACTTGAGCTTTTACGAAAGAAAATTGTAGCACAACCGCAATTTCAGTTCAGGTCCATACTCATTTGAGAAATTGACAAAGAATTGGAGTTCTAAAACTGTTTGCAATGGAACCGATTACACAATCAAGTGTCAAACAAACTATATCAAGTCCTGCAGGTATGCTTTTCTGCAATATGTTGCAGAAAAGTTGTTAGTGCAAGATAACTAATGGCTTCCATGAAAAGTCTAATATACTGATCATCACAGTTAGCAAGTGATGGTAAGTTGGTAAACCATAAGCCAAATGACAATTGTACAATGGAATGGTGACATTTCAGCAAATATTGCTTCTTCAATTGTTGCATCAAAAGCATAAACATATCAATTCAAATGGAGCGTTGTCAAGGTTGTAATGGATTAACTTTCCACATGCTTACTCTAACAGAAGAAAAAAAATCGATTTAACTTCATATAGTCATCATTTCTGAATACCGTCAAAACGAGCTCCAATAGATTGATTCCAAGCATTCCCTAAATTCTACTTATCACTGTTTGGCATCAAGTACCAACATTCCGAACACCGAATTCATCGCCACCCCACACTAGAAGGAGATGGGCATACTAAAACTTGAACTCGACCACCCAAGTAGATATCTCGGCAACGGCAGCAGATAGCAGCCCAAACAGAAGCTATTCGAAGGAAGGAATCAGGGAAAGAAGAGGAGACCTAGGAAAGGACATGACCTGTACTGATTGAGATCGGCGTTGATGGCCGCGACGGCGGCGCGCTTGATGTGGGGAGGAGCGGGAAAATCGGGAAAACCCTCGGCGAGGTTGATGGCCCCGCACCGCTGGGCGAGGTGGGAGAGCTCTTGGATGGCCGACGAGGTCAGCGATCGCGACGCTTTCGAAAGCTTCCGTTCCATCTCCTGTTGCGCGCTCTCCTTCGTCGGAGGTCTCTCGAGGCGACGACACCTTATCCCCTCGATCCGTTGTGGTTAACTCTATGTTGATGAATCCGTAAGCATTCGTACGCATGGTTATTAATATACATCACAAGCTGTGGAGCATTCTGTTTAACATGCTAAAACACCACGCAACATCAATAAAATTTGCATATGCTAAATCAGAATTCGATTATCCGATGTTGATACATATTTAAAGTCAATCGAGATTTTTTTTACATTTATCATAATTCAATCTCAATCAATACCATACTCATCCAAGATGTTCCCGACAAATGACTATCCGATGCTTAAGTTAATTTTAGATTTGACCAAGACACTTTTCTCATGCTAAGCAAGAAAATAAGTCCAAGACTTAGCTGCATGAAAATATACCCAAGACACCTTTTTTAAGCTAAGCACAACAATATGTCTGAGATACTTCCTCGAGCTAAGTATGAAAATGCGTCCATGAAGTCTTTCTTAGACTAAATTTAGAAATACGTTCGAGATGCATTCCTCGAGCTATACATGAAAATACATATGAGATGTCTTTCTCGGTCTAAGCATGAAAATGTGTCTAAGGTGCCTTAAGCTAAGCACAAAAATGCGTCCAAACGTCTTTCTCGAGCTAAGCATAAAAATACGTGCAAAATGTCTTCGTGGACTAAGCATAAAAATACACACAAGATACCTCCCTCACATGACCTTATGCACGAGACACTCTTGGGTTAGAGAAGTCAAAGCACGACACATCAAGATTATTGGATATTGGAGACTCAAAAACTAAATCACTATGTGCCAAGCAAGCATTAAGCACGCCTCATCGCCTTAAGGAAAACCCTAAGGTGTATCTCTGAAGAAGAAATGTAGGAGAAAAATTCACCTCCTAATTGCAGGTCACCACATGGTTGCTCAGTAGGCACAAGTGACAAAACCCAAATGACATGACAACCACCAAAGCACAAGAACAATTGTGAACATAGAAGAAAATATTTTGCTCTTATCGTATAATATTCCTTCGAGCCCAACCCGATATAAATTTCATCAATTTATTATTACCAATGTCAATTATTGTTTATGTATGATTCTACTTTCCACCTTAGTCCTAACTTAAGTGTCGGAGGGACCGAGTCGAGCACCCCACCCAACTCTGGTCTTCCTACAAGTTGACTCTTCAACAAACACCCGAATCATCCTCTCGGGCATTTTTGGACTCTTACGCACGCGACCCACAACTGAGTCGGGCTGACAAAGATGTCAGACAATCACACCATCACTGTGAATACACAACTTAAACTGCTGGTTAAGGAAAAGATTAACATACATATCTCCTCTCGTAGTTGATGTACAATAAAGTTATCATTATCCTCTAATCCTACTTAGTCGCCATTGAGGTGCAAAAAATCTTCATTGTTGCTTATGCGATGACACCTCTCACCAGCAACCTTCATAAGTATCGGCACACATGCTCGATGATACCGTCGGGTAAGCCGAATTCATGTAGGCAACTCTTCTCGCGGAGCGCCGTGCAAGCGCCATCCACTTTGATACTGCTTTCAACTTAACCCACTTGCTAGATGAAGTCGTGGCACCAGCATCAGGCACATTTGGGGTGCAGCTTCTGTTTGTACTGCTATCTGATACATGAACCAAGCCATTGTGTTGATCCCAGAGCATGGGGAATTGACCGGAGCACATGTCAGCCTGAGCGTTGAAACTCATCAGTGGGTGGTCATCTACTAGAGTTGCAGGATTGCTTGATGGCATATCGAATCCTGTGTTAGTGTTTAATTGGAAGGAATCAGATCTCTGTGCCAGACGAAAACCCATCTCAGGCAACATGTCTTTCATTTCAGGTAGATCATCTATGATGCCAATCCCTGCCTGAATGGGTTGATGCAGTAAACCCATATCAAGAACTGGATCGCCTGCCGAAAGTATATGTATGAACAGACAATCCCACAACAGGTATAAAACATAACACAAATTGATTTAGAAGTTTGGATGACAATTACCTTGATTTGTGAGGGGAATATAGGGAATGTGTTCATCCAAGCAGCCTATATCTGGGATAGTAAAAGTGTTGGTTGCAGGTGATAGCAACCTTTGACGGTTGTCAACCATTGGTTGAATGAACTCCATGATGAGATCCGGAGTCCTATAAGCATTTTCTTTTAATTTATCAATCAACACCTGCAACAACCACATGCGATTGTCTAGTATGAATATGGAAATTCACACACAGCAAATGACTTTAGTGGTTAGATAATGGCTTGAAATCCTCTACAATCCAAGCTGTAGAGAAACTCTACAAGCCTGTGTATGCTGACCATCCTGGACTGGTCCTTTCCGTTGACTACTATCGTGATCTCATCTTTTCTATTCTCCCTACAGAATAATTTAGAAACCAGAGCAAATACAAAAGCTATGTTCACCTTCAGCAACAAAAAGCACCAAATGTTGTCGATAACCTCCAAAACTATGGTTGTAGAAGATTTGCACCTTTCATTTAACACCTTTGTTATACACCATTCCTTGTCATCCATAATGTGCTATATAACTTATACAAAGCATTCAGCTTCACAGCTAGACCTTTTCATCATAGGACTTCAGCAAATAAATCAATGCTTGTGATAAGTGATTGTTACACTGCTAGTAGAGTAACCACATATCCACTGATGGTCCTACTGGATCATCTTAGTTTTTCCATATTCTATATGAATGCAAGAATTCTTAATTTGCAATGAATTCTCGAGAAAATTCACATTTTCCATTGTAAGATTAATTTAGCAGGCTTCTCCTATCTAAAATATTCTTGTTATTACTAGTTCTTATAAACCAACTTAATTGTCCTTCCTCATCCAATATGAGATTAAACCGGGGAATTCTAATATCACTTGTTTAGGGTTTGATGTATTCGTCAATGTCCAAAATAGCACAAAATTACCCAAGGACCAGGATGTTTCATTGGTAAACTAATCATCAAATTCTTCTACCTATAAAAAATTAGACCGAGAAGGCAAGAACTACAAATTCCACAAATAGGTCAATCAAAACTATGATAGCCCCCAATAGATTTCCAAGGCTATAGGAATCTCAAAATACATCAGACTTGGGCACTTCCAATCAGTTTCCGGTTGATTCCTGATTCTAATACAATCCAGAGAGCCTGAGTTGTTTGGACCTTCACTAAATGACCTACAGCAATGACCATCTATTTTGTCTTGGCATGATGCACATGCAAAAGATCATCAAAAGATATTATTGTTTCCTAAATACCTATACATTTGAGATCATGTTCAACAAATTAGGACTTCCATTTTAGGAACTCCATAATAGAATTTGATTCTCTAGAACTGAAGCCTCATTCCTACCAATTGGATATCAAGCATCAATCTATAACCATATTCTTTAATCTAAATTTGCGAACATATATTAATTTCCATGTCTTAGTTCTTCTTGTCCGTTCTCAAAAGATATAAATCTATCTTCTCGGTGAACCTATTCCAGTACATAACAAGTGTGATGACTAACTTAAAGAAGGAATACCAAGCCAATATCTCTCTATACCATATATTTTAAAAATCTATATTGCAAGCATATATATATTTAAGTGTCGTAGGTTCTTTTTCATTTTTGTAAAAAATATACAATTATCTTCTTGGCAATTCTCTTTAGTACATAACAAATGAGGTAACTAATTACAAAATAAAGGAATCACTAACAATAATTTTGTTTAATCTCATAGAATGAAATACAAACCTTTTGTGTTGCAGGAAGTTCATCCAGGTAGTAAAATTTTTCTTGAATTATTGTCCCAAGAAGCTCATATATAGAGTTAAACAGGAGCACAACTCCTTGACTAAAGTTGTAAGAGTATAACTTCTCTGCTGGAACAATACATTTCTTAGCATGCTCAACTGTTGCCTCCCACATCTTATTTGACATCCCACTACCAAGTATCTACAGGTTAGAAAGAGAAATGAGAATCTACTAGTTAAAAAATAACTCAGTATCGGGGAACTAATTGACTTTCTTACATGGCGCAGCATATTCTGATCCATTATAAAATTCCTCAGGAAGTCCTGAACAGTCATTATTCCACTATCTGCAAGCCTTTTATGAAAAACACCATCTTTACCTATCTTTTCTAATCGCCATACATCATCATTCAATGATGGAGGATGATGCTTTTTATACACTGAAATCAAAACATATTAAATGTAATTTATGAGTAAACAGCTTCAAGATTAAAAGTAATGGAGTAGACCAAATGTAATTTATGACTTATCTTTGCATTAAACAATGGACTTCAATGAGAAGGCGAATAATACATACCAATCAAATAGATTGGCTTGTTGTTGTTTTTAATACAATAGATTGGTTAATATTTAAAAGATCAACATATCATCAGAGCAAAGAGATACAAAATAAGTTATGATTCTAATAATGGCACCATAGTGTCTTCACTAACTGACATTACATAAATTCAGGATACAGGCAAATGGCAATTTTTTTATCAGGTTGGTCCTTGATTCCTACAATGATCAGTAGTGACCTCTAGATCTCCAGTAAGCTGTTTAATATCATGTCTTGAATGCTCTGTTCTTCCTGTTTACACAGAGTAGTGATACTCTGTTCACATTGTTCATAGAAATTGCAAGTATTTTCACAAATAAATAAAAGGCAAACAAGGACTATGAAACAACAGCTGGTTGAGCGAAGAAAAAAATTATTTCCAGGTTACACATACGAGCCTAATTTAAAAAACCCTGTGCCAGCAAGCTACTAATATCTAAAAAAGGCAAAAAAAGAATATTTAAGTAAAAAAAAAATCCCATGGTAGTTTCTTTAGTTAAGTTCACAAATATTTCTTTAAACTAGTAACCTTAGTTTTGTCATGCATCAAAGATAATGTGTTCAGTTGGATGTTCCCATTGAAGTTGATAGATTTTCCAAAGACATCAGGGCTATCAAATTAATAGATTTCTATTATAACACAGGACATCTTAACTTGAAATGGTGCACTAGTTCTGTTCTGTTGCCAGTGTTCAGTTCCCAAGGAAATATAACAAATCCTTGAGGATCCTTGCACATGATGTCCAGAATATTATATATCATGATTATCAATAAAGTTGATAACACATCTAATCTGCAAAGTCATAGCATGTAAAATTTAGATAAACTTACATTCTCCACGATGATCCTTCACCAGAAAAGCTCCACTTACTGCCTCCTGAACTCTATCGATGCATCTGCTTTGAGAAACCCTTGCACCAAGTCTGAACCTTCGACTTCTTGTCCAACTGGAGTTATCAGTAAAGTTGGCATCTCCAAGACAACCAACCCCTTTGATCAGTGTGATCATCAGTTCACCAGACAGCAGAGGCCTTTTGCCCTCTCTTTCCCGTACTATGCTATCACCAAACTCCTTTTCAGTCCATTCTTCTTGCCCATCGATACCAAAATCACCATCAAGGACAAGAATTTCAACCTTGATTGAAGAAAGAGGACCACATGTGATAATCTCTCTTGAGTCAGAATCAACTATAACAATCTCAACAGGCTTTTGGCCCTCAGCTTCTATCTTGCTGCTCGTAAACAGTGTTCTAGGCAAGCTGTTCCGAAACTGTAGACGGTATCGATTGCTCACAGCTGTCTGAATCTTGTTAAGGGGAACTCTATAACATGCAAAATATAAAAGAAAAGAACACACGATTACATAATAGCAAAAAAAATATATAGGACATTTCACTACCAGCTAATTTAATCACTCATCAAGTTAATGCATGCTTTGTCTTACTTGGGTAGATTATGCAGGAATAAGAACACAGATACATGATTCATGACTATCAACGTATGATACGTTTATACTTCAAAATGAAAATAAATGTTAGTACATTTTCAATAGTTTGAATGAAGCAGCTAGCATATCAATTGAGGAGACCATGAGAGTTGGAATAATTGTAGATAAGAAGTAAAACAGAAAACTATAGTCATCAAAGGCAAGTGTAACAAAAATCAATGAAAAATAAAATAAAATCATAATTAACAAATGTCATTGTCAAGAGTACCATCTTGGCTTTCACAAGTTCTATTGACTCAGGATTCAGGAAATTAAATTTAGATATAACAAGAAAATTTGAAAGTTCTAGCCAAATGTATTAAGAATCAAAGCATACCATGTCAACTAGATAATAGCAAAAATTCTCATGCTCTAATAGGAATATTACCACGTCTGACATGGCGAATACACTTAATTAAGCATCATGGTTAACCCAAAACCCTACCTGGGAGGTAAGTGCATATCACGCCATATAGCATTTTGCACCTCTTCTTGCACCTTGCAGGAAAAAAAAGAGCACTAAATAAGAAGTCACCTCTGAAAGTTGATATGGATGATTTTAGCTTCATTAAAAATGCAATATCTCTCAGATTCATGCAACTTCCGAGATAAAGGTATTATGTGCCAGAAAATCACCAAAAGAACGGGCTATTAGAAAAGGATGCCCATTCGTATAGAGAATTAGCCCACAATTATGCACATATAACATAAAAACTGCAAGGTAATTAACAGACTTGAATAACCAGAGAGTACGAATTTCATAAGAAAAATGACAATCAACCTAATCTTACCACACTTCGAAGAAAAGGTTCTATCTTTGGCAAATGCTGCAGTATATATTGCGTCGCCATCACTACTCTCATAGAACTGCATTGAAGAAACCACAAATAAAACAAAGAATCAGCCAATAATTATAAGACAATCTACTCACTCGATCGAGGTTCGCTGTCGCTTTGTTTCGGGAACCAACGGCACCCCATCGTCTACCCCTTCCCCTCCCACACCCCTCTTCAGACCCATCATGAGGAAACTAAGGGGTGATATCAGCAGAACACTTAACAGCGTCAATGTAGCACGATGTTGGAATCACTGACATATATGAAAGCGCAAAAAAGACTACTTTAGGGGCGAAGACACGCCGAAACTTCCCAAACCGTAAAGGACACACCCGTCCGTGGGGAAAAGAGATCGATTAAGTCCCATTAAAAAGGGACCACGATTCCAATATTCTTCCAGTCGCGAAATTGGCCCGAACAATCCAAACTCAGGTCGCGGGTTCAGGGTTTTGCGGAATACCGACCGCAGAAACGACATCGACGGGTGCTGTTTTGGAGCAGAATCTACCCTGGACGGTACCCAAAACGGCGAAGATTCGGAGAAGGGGCGAGGAAGATGGCGGAGCGCGCCGATCGAGGTCGGGGAACGTGAGGGGCCCGTCGCGATCGATCGAATACCTCGAAGCGATAGGGGGGTGGATCCCACATGGGGGAATCGATTCGGAAACCTAGATGCCGGTCGACGAGGTAAAAGCGGGCAGCGAATGAGCAAAAGCTCGGGGAAAGCGCCGGTGGTTTGCGCGCTTTATTCCGCACCTTTTCCCCCGCTTTCGATGTCGCCTTGGACATTCTTTTAGTGACTGGACCCTATTTTGAAAAATTTTGCACTTACCCGCTAGCTCACCCGAGACATGGAAATGGCCTATTCATGGGTCCCCCATAGACCCACCAGGGTTAGTGTCAGTTCCCCGGCCAGAAGAAGAGTGGGCGTTTGGGTACGTGGCGGAAATAGTATTTATCCGTTTGGCATTAACAACGGCCAAGCCAATGCTTCCATTGAAATCACGTTATTGTTTTACACGCATAAATATAATATATATATGCATAATCGAAAATTAACAAATTTAGCATTATAAATTTTAATGCATCACATATTATTAGATAATTTAATGTAAAATAAAGTTTAAAGGTCAATCAAGCTCAACCACCAATGGATATATGCAAGATTTTAGGTTTTGGATGTCGTATATTTATACTAAATTATCGATCCTTATACCATAAACATCGTAGCCAGTATTCTAACTCCCACACCCACAACTAAATCCAAAGCCATGTGACCATATTAATTGCAAAAATGGATCTAAAATATAAGCAATGCCAATTATACTTTTAATTAGATTAATATAAAATAAATATATTCAGTTTAGGGAGTGTTAAGAATATAAAAGTATATAGATCTTATCTCATATACTGACTTAAGCCTTTAGATGTAATGACATTGATCAAAATTTAAGACGACATCAAATAGAAAACTAAAATTAGCTCACTCTCAATTTTATCAGTACTATTGGAAGAGAAAACACTTTGAAGAAATTAGAACAGACAAATCATGTTACTCGAGAACATTTTTCATCAGACAACAAGAATTCCCATTTCTGTAAGTAACACAAAGAGTTCTAACACATTCCAAATGTAACTTATGAAAATATAACTAATTTCCATAGTGGTCACACGATAAACAATCAGAAACTACCCTTACACAATGATGACTGATAATGTAACACTTCGGATGTTACATCGTTGAGTAAAGCAAATTACTGTTTCTATTATTTCGGGTTAGACAGCTCCATCTTGTTTCTCAGGAAGAATTTTAATGATGTCAGAAGCCCGGAAAGCTCCATTCATGAGCTCGGGAACAGACAGTTTCAGATCAAAAGTAATTCTCTGGAGTACATAGCATAGTGTCGTTACATCCTGCATTGCTCTGTGTGCTGGTCCGTCTAAAGGAATTTCATAGTGCTCACGAAGTGCCTTCAACGAAAAGGAAGGAAGCTTTGATCCTGCAAAGTTGAATAAAAAAACAAAATTAGTTTAAAAAGTATAATTAAACTTGGATGGGTATTTGGGTTTTTTTATTCTCATAAATAATAAATAAAAACAACAAGACTGTAATGTCTTTGCCGTGTAAAAACTCGATAATAGTATATTTTATTTTTATCTAATCCTAAACTACTTCCAGCAAGGCACAGTCTGATCTAGGGTGTTGTCAATAGGTCACATGCATCCTAGTGTCAGGTTGAGAGACTTATACCAGACCTATGTGACCTAGGAATCATGCCAAAAGTTCAAAATCAAACTCAATCTCATCAATCACACAAAGAACAGCATGATTGACCCATTTTCGACAAATTGGACCTACCCCTTTACAAGAAAAAAATGTTGAGATTGATATGCTAATCCAAAAATGGCACATTCAACACAGTTAACAGTGTCGATTCAAGTCACTGGTGTCAGTTCCTATAGTCTTCTAGTAGTTGGGTCAATCGTGTCAACCTATTTATGATCCAAACCCACCCAATCCTGCTAATTTTGTGTTGCATTCATGTCAAGTTTTTTCTGTGTTGAGTCAAGTTACAACACCCCCAAGTCTGCGTCCTGAGTGAGTTTAACCTAGCAAGACTTTGTAAATCACACTAGACAATAAGAGCACATCCACTAGAGGAAGTGGGGTGAAAAACAGTATCATGATCTAGTTAACTTACCTTGAAGTTATTTCTGAAATTCAATTTTTTTACTGCAGAGGTAGAACAAACAATTTTATAGGGATTACAAAAAAATGTGATATATATTTTCAGGATATACCAAAATTGTTATAAACCAACACCAACGAGAATCAAACTAAGTTAATACAACAAAAACCTCAAATTTCGTAATACCGACTTTCTAGATTTTACAGTTTTGCATGATATTGGCTAATCAAGAAATGTGGCTTGCAACCTGAATTACCATATTGTGTCCAGTACTGCCACTTTTGAAGAACTGACAATGACCTAATCAATTAAGAGACATTAGGACTATTACACTGTGACATCTCATTACCAAATTAACACAAGCTAACTAAGTATTCTAATCATGATCAAAGTAATAGCTAGCCACACAAAATATTCTAGAATCTATTGATTCTTGGAGTTATCAAATAGATGAGAACCTATTATTTCTAATGAAATGCCCTTTTATTCTGGTCAATGTCATCAACACTGGTATCAGATACAATCAACAGATAGGACTAATGAATCAGTAATTTGTAATTTAGGAAAGAAATTTGTGATACAAGAAATAGGACAAATGAATCGGTGACCTACCATCTGCTTTCACCAGCTGGCGTGCAAGTGGAAGAGTGTCAACAAACATCCAGTCTGGAGGAATCTCCACGGAGCAACGCTGGAATTCTTTGATCATGAAAGGTACATCAAACCGACGTCCATTGTGAGCAACCCATATTACTGGTCTTCCGTCCACTTGGCGGCTCCGAACGTATTGCAGTAGGATAGGAACTAGCTCCCTAAACCTATGCTAAAATAATGAAAGTAAGATAGAGGAAATAGAGCATAGTTATCGAAACTTTTTCATGGAACCAGCAACAGGAAAGTTCAATTTTAGAAAATGTTACACATAAAATAAACATTTCAACAAAAGCATGCACATGCTGGACCTTACAAGCCAATCCTTGTTCAGAAAAGCAAGAATGAGAATGATCTTTCTCAAACTAATTGCAGTACCCTAGGAAAGATGACAATCTTCTGGTTCCATCAAAATTTCCAAAATTTCCTTGTTTGACATGTTGTCACACTGCTGACTCGCAGCCTCGTAGCATTAACTTCATACTTCTATTTCAAGATACCATGCTTTTTATGTATGCATGATACCATCAATAAGGAGATCAAATGTTCAATGAAATGGAAATGTCACCTGATACCACGTATGTGAAATCTGATGGAAAGAACAATGTCCTCTACATTATGGATATTTGGAAATGAATAATGAACCATCTTTACATACTACATTATATACACAGTTGAAGCATTTCCAAAATTGAAATGGTTAGCAATGCACATCAGTTGCAACCATGAATATGCTAAAAATGCAAATTCAGAACAGTCTATTGTGTTTGTGTGCCTCTTACTTGTGTGTACGTGTATACATGCATGCCCAACTCTATGTGCATGAATATAAATGAGACAATAAATTTACTTTGTTCAAGCATTTACATTAAAAATTGATTTAGAATATTGGAAGCAATTAATTGAAAATTATTATGTCAAACTCTGCTGTTGAGATAGAAAATTTAATAGCACCACAATAATTTACCGATGGTTCATTTTTTTGGCAACAACCATAAATTGAATTGTTTACTCCAACAGAGATAATAACAAGCAGATAAGCAAATCTAGAGCCTTCAAGAATAGACAAGCATACGTTGGGACATCAGGCTTGTTGACCATATAAGTGCGAATTCCATGAATATACGCATTTAATACATCTTTTTCAGGATTTATAAGGGTTTGGAATGTACTGTTCTTGCCACCAATAAGATCACGAAGTGCAAACTCAATAATCCTTTCATTTTGACGACTGAACCCAGTGGTTTCAATATCAAAAACAAGAATAGTTGCAGGCCGATCAAAGGCTTTCCTGATAGAAATATTTTCTTGGATATGGTAACACTGAACAGCTTTAAGTTTGTTAAGTTCTGGCTGATTGATATCTTTATTTGTTGATGATCTGACCATTACTTTGTCAACCTTCCACTCAGGATGGCTACATGATGTAATAAAACTCCGTGGTTCCCATCTCAACACTTGTACCAGGCGTCTTAACTGTTGCAGTTGACGTCGCCTAGTGTTATAAGGTTTCTCAGGAACCAATGTCGTACTAAATCTGAGAAAAGTGAAAGTTGAATTGCTTCCGAGACTGTTCCACAATTGATATAAATTTGCTGACCAGATAGAAGCTAAGGACATTCTTTAAAGAGAGTGGATTTGGCATCAAGGATCTCCCAGCATCAAAACTCATATGAAAATCACCAACATCTGGAGTTCTGCAAACAAAAGTGCATCAGTGTACTGCTAAAATTCCCAGAATCTGCATCAACTTAGCATGTTTTAATCCTAAATGCAAATGTAAGGAGATCAAATCAAACTAAGATTTATTCGGGCAAAGGCCTTAAGACATGTATAGTATTTTGATCGATTTTCCACCATAAAAAGGTTTTCCAGACTGCCAAATTTGACCAACACAGAAATCTTGCTTCACGTCTATGCAAACTCTGTAACAGTTATTGACCAAAGATGTACTATGCCCTTGATTCCAAAATTCATCAGAATATCAGATACTTAAAAGGCATTCTGGAAAAACGTCTCATTTAAATCATAAACATTAATGCATTAATACTACCATGAAAAAATAATAAATTGTAACGCAACAGTAACCCAATATCTTCCCGCATAATGAATGAACTATAATACAAAGATTATAATAAAATAGTCGATAACACAGATATGACCGCTAGTTCTGTTATTCCTGCATCACTACAAGAAAACATTCCTTGATGAACAGTTAAATGATACCGCAGAATTTCCATGAACATCCAGAAAGCGATTTATTGTGTTAAATACAATAATAAAAGATTCCTGCAAAGTATCACAATAAATGCTAATAACAACCGTCAAACAAAAAAAAGATCTTATATATGCCAATTTTCCATATGCTACTCCATGCTTGATGAAATGCCTGAAAGAGAACAATCGCACAGGATACATAAAACCACAAAAGAGCATCTCTGAAATTGCTACGATGTCCTTACACTGTATATGAAACATATAAAACAGTCAACACGGACAATCAATCAACAAACCACAAAAATCGTGACCACAAGCCATATGCTCGACAAAATTCCAGAATGAGAGATCCCAGCAGAGACTGCCCACAAACCCACTCGAAGAATAAGAGAAATCATACATACAAGAGCGGATCTAAGACAAGAAGAAGTACCAGGAAAAGTAGCACGCGACAGAGGGTGGACGGCCGAGGAAGGAAGGTATAGAGAACGATCACGGCGTGGGGCAAGTGGTGGTTATAGAAAAGCTTGCTTGGCTTGTGGGGAGAGGAAACGGCCGTAGACTTGGGGGTGGGAGAAGCGTGAGCTCGGTGGTGTTCTCCGGATCAAGGGGCAAGAACCACTCAACACGGCACGTGCCTCCGGTCAGAAGACACGGTCTCGGAAGCGATTTAAGCGGGGAGATCCCGTGTTGCCTTTTTTTTCCTCCTATTGGTTGAAATTTAATTGGGATTTGTAAAAGAAGCTTCGAATTAAGTCTGTTTTTCTAATTTAATTAGTATTTGTAAAACTCGTTAAAATTCAATCTGTTTTTATTATTGACAATAATTTACTATTAATAATTTCCTTAAAAAAATTAAAATAATATTTTTTATTTATAACTCTAATATTACATATCTTACTCTTTTTTTTTCTATTTTTCACCGCAATACCTTATTTCATCCATTCGATACCAACATCGCTCGCTATATATGTCGCTCATCTCGCTCTTCTACGCCTCTCCACTTGATGTTGATGCCTCCAATGCTCGCTTAATGTCCCCTACGTTGTCCATATAAATAGCTCTCTTGCCTTCTCAAAGAAGCCTCTAACATCATAGAGGCATTAAGGTAATCAAGCTTCAACAACCATTCGAACAGTTATTGTCGCTTCTGTTAACAACCTTTATAGGGGCCATCCCCCTTAAACGCACTCACTCAGATCATTACCGATTATATCGAAAAATAGGACTAAAAATAAGATGAAATTTACGTTTAGAGAGATATTTAAAAAAAATTATAAATAATAACAAAGAGGTTATGAGTAAAAATCTCGTTCAAAAAGAAAATATAGTCTTTCACATATAAGTGCTTTCATCAATAGTTATATGATGTAAAATTTTCAAGTAATATGGTTGACTTGAGTCTATATAGTGTTATCGCTTCACAATGCTTCAAACACAATGATGATCGTTGCTTTTGTCGGGTCCATATTAAACATCTCGCAGATGCCTTAGTTTCAATGATAATCGTTGCTTTTGTCGGGTCCATATTAAACATCTCGCAGATGCCTTAGTTTCTAGCCTTGGTGATCTTATTTTGTTTAGGTTACAACTTATTTGTTTTAATTTTTAGATCGTAAACTTTTGCTAGTGAAATATGTAATTTAATTTAACTTTTTATTTAAATAAATTTGATTAGTTTAGGAATCTTTCATAATAAATTGTCGGATATAAATATCTATTTAAGGTATAGAAAAATAAAATAAAATAAATTTGATATTGATTGAATATTATAAATCTTGATTGAAAATCTTATGAATATTTAATTTTACAAGAATGAATGTCTATCGATCAAAAATATTATCAAAAAAATATTCTTCAAATCAAGTCATAAATATTATATTCTTAAAGAAAAAAAATTATATATTTGATCTAATATAATTATATTTTTTATCTTGAACTTATAAAAAGATATTAAAATATTATAATGCATTGAATGAGTAAATTGAGCTTTTCTTATATGAGGACCAAGGTACAAAACCTTCTTATTAGCATTTTGCTACTTGAGATAGAGTGAGTCAAATAATTATCTTTTTATTTTTATTATTATCTTTCTGTTATGAGAAGATGTTATTGATGTCCTCGTTAGCCCGAGGTGCCTCCATGATAGAAACATAAAGTATAGATGTTTCCTAACTCAGTCTCTCTAACACCCAACTTAATAATTTTAAGCATGCGAGTGTGTACGTAAGTGATCAAAAAATGATCACCTTTCATTATATTGAAGATGAGTTTTATACATGATTGTCAAAGGGTAAAATATTTTGTGAAATATTTTGTGTAGATGCACCCTTAATTGCCTCCAACAACCTCTCATTGGCATTTTCTCCACGTGGGAGATAGAGGAGACAACCAACAATTGCCTGCTTTGGACCCTTGTTTACGTGGGCAAATAGATGAGGGGTAGTCTTTATTTTCTTCTTCTAACTTGGATATCATGCAAAGGTTATGTGTCAAATAACAATTGGTTAATGATACGTGTCGAATAACCCTATCATTTGCCTCCCTCGCATGATTGGTTCTTCGATTTCGTATATTGGACAAACGCCAAAGGAGATCAGAGTTGCCTAACTTATGCCTTGAATTGATAACCTTTGTCCCTTAACAAAGGGTCATTCCTCGCTGATAGGCCCTCCTCGATAGTAGATCAATTATTGTCGATGTAAACCCATCTCTCCTTCAGGTGTGGAGGTTAGCAATGATGGATTAGGTGTCTGTCCTTTCCACCTCAATAATGAGGGGTCAAGTTTCGACCTCCATAGCTTGGCGATGGCAAAAGAGGGGGGTCGGGTGTCCGACCTCCCTACCTTGGGTGAAGGAGGCTTATTTTTACTCAAGGTGCTCATATATTACAATCGATTTTTTTTTTCCAACTTACATGGTCCACCATGTCGATCGGCTACATTGGCCAGTGGCCTACCCACCTTGGATAAATGAGAGGTCAACGCTTAACCTCTCTACCTTGGGTTCTCTTTCCTTTGTGCCTCCCGTAGTGATAGATTTATTCTCATACAGGTTAGGTTTTCCTACCCTGAAGGAATACTTATATCCAATACTATAGGAAAGAGATTGATTCTCTCCCTATAAATCCCTCTTGGCTACGAGGGTGAAGCTCTTTATCTCATTTAAGTCTTTGTGATTTCTGTTATAAGCTTTATCTTCTTAGCCTCAATTCTCCTCTATAAGGCAAGTTGATCCTTGGTCTTTTTTTTGAAGATATTATTGTAAGATGTCATCATGAGAAGTTGTCTCAAGGCAAGTCAATTCTTGAGTGTCTCAAATTCCATATGCATCAGCTCTTCAGCACCTCATTCTTCTATCTTTGTAGGTCAGGATGTCTTTCATTTCTCTCATAAGCTGATCCAAATCTCATGATCATCAAATGGCCGAGAAGGTTGGTGCTTCATCCTTAGACAGCCCATGAGTAGAGAAAGTTCTGACCTATTAACTATTGAACTTCCCTTATCAATGGAGGTGGAGGAGGCCCATGTTAAACTTTTTTAGAGCTTAAAATGTCTTGGCCAAAGTTGCTAGTTACAAATTGGCCATTCTGCTTTTCACTATTATGTCATCCACGTAAGCTTCAACATTTCTCCTATATGATGCTCGAACATCTTGTTCACCATAATTTGATATGTTGCTTCAATATTTTTTAACATGAAGTGCATGACTTGGAAGCAATATATGCCTTAGTCCATGATGAACGAATTATTTTCCTAATTCTCTGTTGTCATTCTAATTTGGTTATACTCTAAGAATGCATCCATAAAAGTGATGAGCTCATAATCTGAGATAATATTAACTAACTGATCAATTCAAGGGATGTGATAGTAGTCTTCAGGTATCCCCTGTTGAGATCAGTATAGTCAATACACATTTTTTATTTTTTCATTAGCTTTTTTAGTAAGGACAACATTAGCAAGCCATTGGGGTTACTACATCTCGGTAATAAACCCTACTCTTAACAGATTGTCTATCTCGTCACTAATTATTTGCTGGTGGTTAGGAGCAAACTTGCGAGACCTTTACTTCATTGGTTGTGCTTCAGGAGAACTGTTCAAGTGATGTTGGGCTACGATAGAGTTGATTCTTAATATATCTCTTGGCAATCATGTGAACATCTTAGTATTTTCCTAATGAAAGTTGATGAGTTGCACTCGTCTCTCTTCGGGAAAGTGTTGCCTGAACCTTGACAGTTCAATCGGGTCTGGCTTTGTCTAGGGGCACTTCAATCAGTGGCTCCAATGACTTAGGATGTGGGATGGACTAATGAAGTCTATAGGTAGTGCCTCCAGTTGAGCTTTCTTCGATAGGGAGATTATCATCGAGTAGTACCGTGTGACTTCCTTGGGTTACTTCTTAGCTCTTCCAATGTCAGCTCTCATCGAGAACTTCATCTTTGTGTGATAGGTCAACACCACTACTCTCAATTTGTTCAGTGTAGATTGGCCTATGATCGTATTATCCTATGATCACATTATATGTCGAGAGAGTATCCCCCATCATAAACTTAGCCATTATAATTTTGGAGCAAGGCTCGTCTCCGAATGTGATGTGCAAGTTTATAGCCCTAAGAAGTGAAATAAAATCACTAGTGAATCTCGTCAACGAAGAAGTCATAGGGATAAGGTCATTTGTTGATAGGTCAAGTTTTTAGCAAGCATCAAAGTAGAGAATATTAACAAAGCTATCTGTGTCAATTATGACATTTTTACCCAAGCATTGATCATCCTCATAGAAACAACCAAGGCATTCAAGTCAAGATACTTCGTCTCTTTCTCATTAAAAGTTATATTGAGTCATCTTCTATCCTTATGCACTATTTAATGGTAGCTCAGATGTAAGTCTTATAACTCGAGAAGTTGCCCCTCCTGTAAGATAGGTTCAATAATGATAATATTGAGGTCGGGGTGAAGGTTTTCAGTGCTTTTGAATGAACCGCTCAAGGTGTCTTTGACATATGAGCTCTTTAATATGCTTTTTCAAGTTATGATAATCTTTCGTATTATAGGCATAATATTAGTGAAACTAATACTTGGATCTGTCTCTTTTTTCCAATGATGTCTTCATCAGGTGAGGGTGTTTTAAGAGCCTCTTCTCTTTTATTTATGAAAAAAAATAATTCTAGTCATATTTAAGAGGGTTAGCTTGGAACTTGGGTGAGATAACTCAGGTTATTGATTTCTCCTCTTCTGCATCGACCTTAAGGTTAGGGATGATTGTAGCCACTCTTGCTTCGATCACTTGTATGACTTCTCACACTTGCCTAAAACTATTATCTCAATGATAACATACTGATTAGCCCTTTGAAGTATCTCGAGTACAATTGCTAGTGGTCTTTCTATTAATAACCAAAAGAGACAAGAGGGCTTGAGGCTCATCATGAATATCTATATTATAAGTGACGGATGGGCATTTACCACACCTCGGATCTTATTTGTAAACCAAGCAATAAAGTTTGCATGTATTTCGTTCTCCCCTTGCCTAAGTCCATGGAGTGTTGTTACTAAAGGCCATGGGCATATGTTCCCAAGCAAATGAAATTCAAACTCCTTCACAAGTTAGGCAAATAACTAATGGAGAGCAGTTTTAGGTGGGCATAACATTCTCGTGTTGGACCTATTAACATAGTCAGAAAGGTGTGACATATAAAGGTGTCTGAAATGTCATATTATAATATTTGAGCGCGAAAAGCTGTAATGCATTCATTAGGTTAGCACTACCATCAAACGCTTATAAGGATAGGTGATGAAAGTTCCTTGGAATTAGTTCATCTTAAATTTTCTGGGTGAATGATGACCAACTCGATGTGGGGTCGACCAATACTTCCCCCTTTGATTATTGGAGCCATCGTCGCATCTCCTCCAAACACTAATTGATCTGTTGTAGTTGGATTTACAAGAAATCCTTCGTTGAGTTTGTTGACCGAGCCTTACATTTTGGTAGGTTTGAGTGGTGGTGCGACCCGCTGAATTCTATGATTAGGGACTAAAGTACTACCTTGGCCAACAATTCGATAGATCTCAAGTGCTCTTAGAATGTCGGCACCATGTCGGGTTAGGAAATCTCGACAAGTGCTGGTGGCATTGGCTATTGGGCTAACTAGGGCACAAGCAAATTGATGGCCTATATCTTGCTTGTTAGGGATCTGTACTTGCCAAGTAAGGTTTAAAAATACTTTATTGAGGACAAATAGGTGGCCTAGAGCCGTCATTGAGGGTGAGAAACTTGGTTCATTAATAAATGCTAATATCGCATTAACATATGTGTCAAGGTGGATGCAGCCATATGCAAAAAAGGGCAACTGTTGTCCCCTTTAGGTGAAAGTATTATGGGTCAGGGGCAAAGCCTTTTCATTTAAGTGTTCATTAAAATGGTCAACAAATGGGTGTTCTTGCAACATTGGGCCCTCCTTCTAGCGCCAAAAATGTTATGAGAAGATGTTGTTAATATCCTGTTTAGCTATACGTGATCCAGACCCGTGTGCGCAGGGTTATCTGAGGTGAATTTAAGATGAAAACACTAAACTCATAACGTGTCACTTAGATGAAGATCGAGGTCAAAAGATATTTTTTTATTTGAACCCTCTAATGCGTAAGTTAATAATTTGAAGTAAATGCATGTACATACGAATGGTCAAAAAGTGATCCTCTTTTATTGTGTTAAAATAAATTTTTATACATGATCATAAGGGACAAAATATTTTATGAAATATTCTATTAAGAAGCAGCCCCTAACTACCTCCATGAATCTTCGTTTAATCTTTAATAAGGGAAAATAACTTATAATTCACATGAGTACATAAGTGAGATAACTTTTATTTTCTTTTTTTAATTTAGATATCATACCACGATCAACGATCACGTATCTGACGATTGATAGACGAACTTCTCTTCGTCACTTTATTTTTTTCTCTTTTCATTCATCTATCATTATATATATATATATATATATATATATATATATATATATATATATATATATATAT